TACAACAATATCGTGTATTTCAATATGCACCCATTCGATTTACAACAGTGGCATAAACATCATCACATTTGAACAATGGTTCAGTCGTACAAAGTCCAATAACAGCCATGAATTGTATCAGACATGAACATACTGGTGCAAAATTCACATCAAATAACACACCGCAACAAACATGTTTCTGGTAGATGGTGGAATTGATGTCATTGATTTTCAAGTACACGATATTGATGTTGAATGATTCAATAAACTATACTCGTCGACTTTGTGTACTTTTTTCAGTTGCATCGTTTCTGATTCCGAGTTTAAAGCATAATAGTTGCGACAGCGCTGTTGTCCAATTTGCTTGTTTTGTGAATAGTAATCATGATACCACTTGTTTGACGCTTTCTGTTGTTGAACTGGATATGGATGTCAAATATGTATGCCAAATTTTGATGCATTGCAAGTAATTGTTGTAGTTTTTGATCGAGTCAATGAATGGCATTTATAGTTGCTCTAGAAAACAAGTTGTTTGAAATGTCCTGTCATATGTTTTGTTGTTTTCATGTTCATTAATTGTTGATAATGCATCCAATTGATTTATGTTCTGACACTGCTTATTTGTCATTGTTGGATCTGGGTTTCTAGATTCAGTAACAAACGTTTCAGCAATTTGGATGTGTTCAAATTCATAATACTTGCAAGTCTGAATTATTTGATCATCATCTGAAATTGGATACGAGTAATCATTTCCACTAACCACAGTATACATAGTATACACAGCATTACTGTATATTGACTTGTATTTTACTCAAAATTTTGTCTGGTCAGTATTCCAACACAATTTCCAACATTGATTGAATGGTTTGCAGTGTTTGTTTTAATTGAACCACTTGATGGATCACTTTCATATCTTGATTCAGCAATATCACCAACTGCACAATGATGGATGTGATTGTAGTCAAACACAATATCTTGCAAGGCATTAACGTATTGGTTAGTTTTAGTATATTCTTGATAAAAGGCAATGATGTTTTGTAATGGGGTGTTAAATCCTTCAATCAAACATTGTATGTTGTGATTTCCAACATTGACAGTGACATGACAAACACATTTTGCTTGTGACAGACTTTGAACAAGTGTATTGCTCCGTTTGTTGTACAATACACAACATGGTCAGTCGGTGATATCATGCAATCATACAACTGACAAGTGATTGCAAGTATGACTGATAGTTACAATCAACACTGGTTGTTATCAGGTCATTGATGTATATGGAACAAGCCATGTCAATGTATCAATCAACAATCCATTAACTGTTGATGTAATACCCAACACAATACACAATCAATGATATGGTTGTTGACCCATTCACAATACTCGACAAATACCAACGCATCAGAAAGTTTAAATTTATTCAAAATCAAAATCAAATTCATCGACACATCAATCTGAATCTGAGCTTGGCTCTTCGAATTTCAAACCATGCCTTTTCATAAACCTTTTAAAGTCTCGTCTGATACCGTATACTTTTTTGGTTTCCTGATCATACTCTTGTTTCAATTTCCTTTCAATTTTTGGATCGTGCCTTGATCCTGATATTTCTTCCCCTTTTTGTAACGCTAGCCATTGTCTGAATCTAAGGGTTGCATAATCACGATATTCTTTGAGTTTTTTCTTTTGTATTACTTTAGACAATTCAAGCCTTTTCTTTATACGATCAAAGGTTCTCTGATATCTTCCACTTAATCCAGCTACTTGATTCGACCCAGTATTAGCAGACTCATCTTCGTCCATTGGTTGTTGTTGGTCTTGACTGAAAGTGCTTGGACTGGGCTCATTGGTTAAACCAGACGCTTGACTGGAAGTGCCTGAACTGATTTCATTGATTGGCCGTTTCCGACCTCGTTTTGGAGTACTTGAACTGGGTTCATTAGTTGAACCAGACGCTTGACTAGAAGTGCTTGGATCAGCTATATCAAACAACTCATGCCAGTTTTCGTCAAAAATGCTTGAATCAATTGTATCCGTTGATTGTTGTTGGTCTTGGGTATAAACTTTTGAACTGACTGCATCAATTATTTCTTGCCAGTCTTCATTGGAAATGCTTACACTGATTTCATTCATTATGAATTTCCAATATTTATTAGAAGTGTTTAAATCGGATTGATCCATTGAATGTTGTTGGTCTTGACTGAAAGTACTTGGATCAGCTATATCAAACAGTTTATGCCAGTTTTCAAAAGTGTTTGAATTGACTTTATCTGTTGAGTATTGCTGGTTTTTGTCGGGAATTCCTGTATTGTGTTCATCAGTTGATTGTTTCCAACTTTGTTTGGAAGCACTCGGACTGGGTTGATCCATCAATTGTTTCCGACTTTGTTTGGAAGTGCTTGAACCGGGTTCATCAATTGGCCGTTTTCGACCTCGTTTGGAAGTACTTGGACTGGGTTGATCCATTGATTGTTGCTGGTCTTGGTTATAAATATTTGAATCAGGTTTATCAATTGGACCAGACACTTGACTGAAAGTGCTTGAACTGGGTTGATCTACTGTATTTTGCCAATCTTGGTCTGAATCAATCGGATCAAATATGTTTTGCCAGTCTTTGTCAAGAATGCTTGAATTAATTTCATCCATTATTTCTTGCCAGTCTTCGTCGGGAATTTGTGGAATAGGCTCGTTGGTTGGGCCAGACACTTGACTAGAAGTACTTGATGCTTGTGGTGAACCATCGTTACCAGTCGGTATCAATATTGCATTGGCAGTTGCTGCCGCGGTCAGTACGAATAAAATATCAACCAATTTCATCAGATTGGTCAATGTATTTAAACAATTAATACAAAAGTAGTGTCGAGATTGGTGTCAATTATAGGACTGAATGTAATTGATTGTATTTTTGTATAGTAAACCAACCCTTCTAGATTAACCAATGACACAGGGTTACTTGATTGCTTGTAGTGTGCAACTATCAAACTAGATAGTATGCTGCTCCCTAATCACAATATCATATTGATCAATTTGATGATCATGTCGATTGGATGATGCTTTTATGACCCTTTGATCAGGTATATTGAAAAGCACACCCTTCATGAGTGTTGTATAACCGCAAACGCTTTGCTTCTACAACCATATTCATGTCAAATGGATCACTCCAGTATTCATCATACAATGATTGTATTATACATTCCAATATGCAATGGTTACTACGCATTGACTGCATTGATTGTTCCAAATACAACGATCATCATATGACACATAATCATACTATAGTGTTGAATCTACACTTTGCACTTTTAGTAATCATACATTGTACGATCACCAAGTTTGAACCCACATTCATGTATTGTGTTTGTCTGTCAATGTTGTCAATACAGCTCTGTATACACATGTGTTGTGTTCATTACCATCCAACTCAATCTCACCATTTCAATCAATCTTGGTCAATGTTGATGATTTACACGCTAATTCATTATCCAATCTTGTCTGACATTATTATTGGCTTTAATCACGTTTGGTTTGTACAACTGCCATGATTTGTACTACCACTATCATTGTGTATCTGAACACCAAATATTCCAATACATCAATAATACCATAGTGTGAACAGTAATACAGTTGATCAGTATTGTGGCAAGACTTTTCATTCAAGTTTATATTTGGAAATACTCGATACTGAGCAAATGATCGATTATGTTGTACAAACGGGTTATTAGCAGTGAATGGGTAATCAACCAGACTGTTTACAATGGAATCAGACTAAATACACACAATACTGTAAATCTATGCAAGAAACATGTATCAACCAAAATAACAGACATTTCTAAAACCAACCCGTGATAAAGGACGGATTGGGCTGTCATATATATGGTTGCATATCTACCAAACAGATCCAGACCGTACCATTATGCATGATATTATCCTGTTATAGTTCAGTTATATCCGCAACATTGTGTCTGGTACACATCCAACCCTCAACGCGCCAGAATAAAATCGAAACCACTTGACAATAGATTCATGGCGCTGTACTAGCGTATACGCTTGGTCTGATGGTGACTAGTTGTATGCCAAACATGAGAGCATCTGGCAGTCAGCCCTAGATGTTGTGCACATTTGGTGAATACAAGTACAGTTGGATATCACGGATAGCAACAATCGACATGACAGTGGACACTATTGGACATGTACACTGCAATGTGACTGTCAGCAACCATCACCATCAGTGTGTATCATGTGTTTAAAAGTACTCGCATGCATTGGATTCAACACCACGTTTGTGATTGGGTTTGATTTGGATTGTATTGGTGGTGTTGTTTTGCATATATCAGTAGATTGTGTGTTGATTTGAATGACATGATCATCCATTGTGGTTCATGTACCACGATGACAATCTGACCTGTTGACACGGCCAGTTTGTTGAACGACCTGCCAATCTCCAATTTGATTATAGTACAACGTCACTCATTCAGTGTAGCAGCGACAGATTGCCGAGTTTGATGTTGATCATGTTGTGACACAATCAGCAGTGTTTGATGTATACAGTCTACATTGACCTAAAATGATCGTGCAGTCATACCAACGGAAAAGTCATGGTTTTGAAATACTGCAACAACAGGCTGTTTGATGCTGTTGTGTCCGAGTGATCCAAAACATGACCAATTGGACAATCAGTCAAGTATTTGGTATACAGTGACAGTATACGTTGTAGTAATGGATTGTATGTGTGATGATAACTATCCATAATCAGGGTAACAACCTGACACCATCTGATCACTGAACACACCACTGCAATTGGAGAGGTCAACGTAGCATACTACTGAAATTGATTATACACTAACAGCAATGCTTATATATTGATTCTCCCTACAGGGTGTTTCTGGGTTTGCTCACCCTACACGACGTATTTGTGTTTTCTGAATATCCATTTGAAAGGTGCTGATTGTCACCCTCAAAGCTGCCGTCATTATAAAACGGCAGTCATGTACTAGATTCAAACCATTTTCATCACACTACTCGATACAATGTTGATCACTCTAGAATGCGTTATACTTGCGCTACAGGCAGTTGCTGCAGTTCAAATTGCATTAGAATCACCTTTTGAAAGTGCCAGTCAATCCAGAAATAGGCTGTCAAAACGATCACCCGTTGAATTGGATGGTGACATCACAAAATGTTACACAATTAAATTTAATGTTGATGGAGTCAATGTATGTATCATGTCATGTATTGTGGTTTGATATCAATAATACCACGTTTAATCAATCTCATACTTGTTTAAAATAGTTGGCTTTACAAGTCGATTCAACAATGTCTGATATAGTTGTACCACTTCCTAGTTCAAGCAACGATATAGGTTTAGCTATACAAAGTATTTCAAGTGGGGAACCCGTTACTATAAAGTACAAAGGCAAAGAGTATAATGGAGTTACATCCACAGCCACTGTGACAATTCCGGGTACTAGTATAACTGACATCAATTTACCAGTAGTAGCAGCTGAAAGACAATCGGCAGATTCGGTTGGTATTGGTGGAAAACTCGGTCAGGGAATGTTTGGATTTGCCTATTCCTCGTTGTCAAATCATCACTCACAAACCACTGCAATGGATACTTTGTACAGCAATAATGTCATTCCTAGAAACGAGATTAGTATTCAACTATGTCCGTATGAAATGCTTTCAGATAGCTTCATTAATATAGGAAGTACGGATATAACTCCAAAATGCGGAACGGATGGAAGCAGTGTTGCATGGGTAAGCTCACCATCAAACGATCGTCATACTGTCAACATCAAGAATATACTAGTCAATGGCAAAAAAGTGAAGCTGCCCGAGGAATTCCAAAAAAGGGTAAAAGACGGACGTACTTTGTACTCGAGTGTGGAAACATGCTTTTTACATATGCGTTTTCCTAAAGCAGTCGTAAAAGCTTTGATTGATGCCATTATTAATAGCGATGGGATCACTATCAAATATAATGGATTTAGGAACAATTATCTTGACAAAAGAATGATTAAAAACAGATTAAAAGAAAATCGCTTAATGGCCAGATACAAGTATGATATCGATTGGAGTAGGATGCCGTCGTTTACAATTATAATGTTTGCTGAAAACCCCGTAACTGATGACAATCGCGATTCAGTTGTAGAGATCAGACTGGGTCCTCGAGACTATATGCAGAGAGTCAGTATTAGAAATTCTGAAAAATGTAAATATTTGGCAATTGTATGCAATGTGTGTTGTTTGATTAACCTGACTAATATACATGTTGAATTATAGTTTGGTTTACTGTAACAGCTGGTTCAAATGATTATGCAGTTCTTGGTATGTCATTTATGACCCGACTTAAATTGACATTTGATCGAACACATAAACGCATTGGATTTGGTCCTGGATGTGGATGCGAAACTGCAACTAATGAATATCCTACTATCTCAAATGATGATCAGGTGCTCTGGCCATTAACACAGTAAGTTGTTTGATATTGATGTGTGTATGTGTAGATTAATACTGATTATGAATTTGATGCATGCTGTTAGATTGCCTGAAGAACCAAGTACTTCAATTCCAGATCTCGCATCCACTCTTAGGAGATCATTTTCGCGATTTGGTAGTACTATCCGTGATAGTAGGCGGCCAAAAATGGACTACGATCAACTTGATGGCTAAACAGATATATCAATAAACTGGTTATCTGTTGCATGGATGATATACGTTAGGACTCTTGGTGTTAATAATCATCAACTACAACTAATCAAGTAGTTGTACCTCAAAACACCCACCACGCTGTCAAGAGTCACAAACAGACTCTTAATAAACTCGACTGAATACAATTCATTAGTGACAAACTGATATTATATGTATTTTTAATGTGGTGTGTTCATGTTTGATTGTGTGATATGTTCAAGCCGTGCATGTGTTGGATCAGTCCAGTGTGTATCGTAGTTGTTTGATACACGATGATCACGCATACTATTGTATTGGTAATACATGGTATGGATTGAATACACATTCCAAGTGTATCAATCATTGTATGCATTGTTGGAATCCATCACTGTATATCTGAATGATCATGTCGATACTGAATGCGCGATATCAACAGTTGAAATATGGTATACTGCTGCAAATATCATGATTATCACAATACGACATGGCAAGCAATACCATATCGACACGATACACACATGCATGTCAGCATCATCAATGTGTACAATATGATATCATGTCAACCAAGACTGTACAATGATCAGATATAATATCAAGTAGCAATTGTATTATATTTTATTCAAACAAAAATACAATTGAATCAGTTGGAATGAGTTCAAATCAACATTCGGATCAATCAAGCAATGGTTCGTAATCATCTGTATTGTCTTGATTTGGACTTGATCCAAATGCACCCTTAATTTTGGAATAAGCTTTCTTTGCACGAGAACGAGACTTTTTTTGTGAACGAGGAGATTTGGGAACTTCATGTGTACCGGATGATGGACTTTCACGATGTTGTGATGGACTTTGGGTTCCACTAGTGGAGGCTTGCTCGGTTCCTGGCTGCTGGCCTAGCATGTGACCAAGAGTGCTTTGGATGCTTTGAATAAACCTGGGATTTGATTTTATAAACATCATGTAAGAATGAATTGACGATTGATCCAGACCATCTCCAAACAGACGCTTTGCAAGCTCTTTTCCAATGTCATTCAATATCCAATTATAATCGAAAATCTTGAGACGGAGATCCTGATACACTTTTTCAAGCTCCAAAAGAATTTTCTTTTCCTTATTGAGTTTTGGTTTAAGCCATTCGGCTTTAATCCCATATATGAAACCACTTTTGCTATGATATTTACCCAACAATCCCATATATTTTTCACATAGGCGTTTTACCAACGCTTCTTGAGCAAGCTTTCTAGGTTCTTCCAGCTCCAGCGCCTCCTTTGCCCCTTGATAATTTTCACTTGTTTTTAGATATTTTTCCATCAAATTCATATCATTCTTTGAAAGTTTACTAAAATCAACCAATTTTTTAGCCTGTGCAATAGAAACTGGCGAAGGGTTAGGGTAAGTACTTGCAGTTGCAGTGAAAATAGCTGTAGAAGAACTAGGCTCAACACTTGTAGTTGCACTGGGATTGACTGGGTTAGCTGTAGTAACAGAGCAAACAAGCAGGATTGACGACAAAGCAATCGATAGTTTCATTGTATTGGTTTGGTTGAGCAAGTTGTAATGGTTGCTATTTGATGGGTCAATTTGGATCGTATTTATATCTGTCATTGAATAAATGGTGTTAAAAGCACGATCCTTGAATGACCGCTTTAGGGATTGGCTTTATTGTCAGGGTTGATGGTGATTTGACATTAATATCCAACTTTAAAGGGTTACTCCTTATATGATCACCCGCAATCTTGATCAAACTACTGCTTGACTATGCATTCGAGTATAATATGGTTGATTGTGTAGTTATCCACCCCTATCTGCCCTAAAAAGGGTCAATGGGCTGAAATATGAACAAATGCATGTTTAAACAAGACTATATGCAACTGAGCTGATATTCAGTTGTTGGATGATCATCAATATGTGTTGTGGTTGGCATGATTCAAACATGTCGTGGTTTAATGATGTTTTACATTCAACTCGACACGATCAATCATCACTACACATTACTCAATAATTCAATCAATCAACTGAATCAATACAATGCAATTCATGTTGCAACCACAATGTCACATTGATGATCAATGACTTGCAACTGTTGTGTTGGCATTGTATACTGTAGATATATCAATATCGATTGTCACTATATAGTTGTATCAACCACACATTATGATCATATATCATGGTTGATTCGTATTCTGGATTGATGCACTCATTTCATTCCACTCCATTCCATCACTCGAACACAAACATCGTATGACTTGTTGATTGCTAATACCCATATTGATCGAATACACACTACATGACACATGTCAGGTTAGCGTATACATTCCACTATATAGCACATCATGTTGCTGATACCACGCATTGTGATTCAACAGTCAATCTGTATTCGAGTTCAACTACAATTGTTCGTGTTAATCATAATATACACGACCAATTGTAGTCGAGTTGATCCGACTGAATAGAGTCCGAGTCATCATGTTCATATCAAACCATTGTAAACCATGACAAGTCTATTGCACAACTCCACTCGTGTTGATTACAACATGCTATTCAGAAATGTATCATATTGTCCTGTAATGACTGTACATGATTGTACATGGTTGTTTGAAACCAGTAGCTACGTTGATTGATATCCACAATATGATCCAGTAGTCGTCCAGATTGTGTGTTGTATTTGGTGTGTTGGGTGATGATATCAACCTGTAGTCAAGGTTTGACTATCTGGACATGTCGGTGACTTTTTACCAACTGTGTGCAACTCGATGTCCAATATCGAGTCATGTCATTGATGAATTGATTGGTTCAATTCATCAGTGGGTTTGCTGGATTCATGTGGTGTGCAGCATTTTCAAGAGTATGTTGAATCTGTTGCAGTATTGGAACTTTGTAAACGGATCAACATACTAACCTGACCATGATTGTGGTGGTTATTGCAGTCGTGTCGTAAAGCTTATTCTGGCAATCATTGATGGTTTCAACAGTCATTTGAATAATTGTTTGGATGTCAGGTTACGGTATCCTGATTGACAACTCGACTCGGATACAACTTATTTGGACAATTACTGATCAATGGATTGGACAATGAACTAGGAATTAATCAACACATTGACAGATTTGTCATACCAAATGGAAACAACGACAATCCAGTTGTAATCCATATTGAGCCTTGAATTCAAACAGTCGTGAATCAAATCATTAATAAACTACAAAAACAGTCCAATATGCCAACTCGCATTTATCCACGACTCGATATGTGATGTTCAAATGTCTAATATTCAGACTGTGCTGATTGCAATTGTGGTTGTAATTGTGGTTGTGTGTAAATATCAATCCAATACTCGATTCAATACTTGATTCAACTTGAGCATGTCCAGTTTTGTAGTAATCCATTTGATCACATTGACAGAATCAAGCAATGATCTGATTCAACAACACCGAATGATGCATCCATATCACTTGTATCAATCAATTGTACACAATCAGTTAATATAATCAACAATCACTGTCATGATTGACATGATTGATTTAATTCATTTAATTGCACGAATATGACTGGCATTGCAACTCATTATTGTAAAATTACAATCAATCATCAATTATCAAGATAATACGCCTGCTCATATATGTCTTCGTTGTATGCTCTTGTGATTCGAGCTCGGTCACTTGTCAATTCATCTCGATAGTGTTTGGCTTCAGTTGGTGATTGAACACCTTGAATATACTGCGTGGCATCATTCCACAGTTCAGGCAGTATGTGTGTCTTGTCAAGACTCGAGTTGTACCATTGTGGTTGTTGTGGAGCCACATGCGCAGTCGAAACAATCCGACAAGATGGATTTACTACAAAAAATGTCAGAATCTTGCAATGTCCTGGTTGAGTTGGATCTGCAAGTTCAAATGATTGTTCTTTGTGTTGATATCGATTGGGATAAACTACACACCGACCATTTGGTAATTCAAGCGATCCTATATACTGATTCTGTAGCGATTCTCGATCAATAATGTCATACACATCTTTCCAATACATATCAGATGCTATTTGATATTCAAACTGATCAACAGCCACGCGGTAATCGAGTTTGGGTGTGGTGATATTTTCCACGTCGTAGCAATACAGTCCAATTGCAACAATCGATTCGTTAATTGGACATTCATTGTGCCAGTTTCCCTCGTTGTATTTAGGTTTGGATGGTGTCAGTTGAATGTTGGTGAGTTTGACAATGACTTGTAGATTACGACCACGCAGTGATACTGGCTTTGCTGATTCATATCTGGATTCAAAATGTTCCGGAAGTGTTGGTACATACACGGGACGAGTGACTTGAGTGTTTGGCTGCATACCACCACGATCTGATTGGTTTGGTGATTCATATCCCTTTGTGCCATTGTAAATATCAATATACTTGAACATTGGATCCATCGTTCTGAACAGACCTTCAAACATCGGGACAAAACATTTGAATATTTTGGCAATGCATTTGTACATGTCTCGATGCCATATCGGATTCAGATTGTTGATGTATGAGTTGATGGTCACACTGTCATCCTGTTCGACACGGAATTCACTCGGAAGCCATTGGAACTTGCGTGATATAAACTTGGAATTGCCTTCAATGATGGGCGTATCTGAAACAAGTCGAGTCGATAGCAATATATCGCATGGTACCATTGTGGTGTATTTGAGTCGTATACTCAGTGGTGCAAGCATCGTTTGTCCATATACAACACTGTACATTGATGCATCAATCAGATTGTGCACCATTTGACCAGTGTTGTGATTTGATCCATGTTCAATATCCGATACATTTGTCATCAATCGCGTGTATACATTGTCAGGTATGCCATTGTCCAGTATATACGTCAGTTCAACAGGTCCTGGTACAATTGTGCCAAATCCATCACTGCCACTACAAACAAGCTGTTTGACAAAACCCCCGAGTTGTTCCAATGCAAGATTAAATGTTGATGGTGATATATTTTGATCGAGTGAGTCGACCCTCCATTGCTCCACAATATGCTGGTTTGTGATATCGATCCACCACATGGGTTTGCAAAGTATAGATTGCAAATACTGGATATACCGCATCTCGACAAGTGTGCGTGCATCTCCAAGTACATATCCGGCCATTCCAGATTTCATATCGATATCGGCATTGTCGTTGTATGGCCAAATACTTGAACTAGCAACGTGAACCCGATGCTGGAAACACGTTTCAATGATCTGGCCAGCAACCATTTTGTTCATGTATTCAGCAGTATCCGATTTTACAATAGCCGTCAGATTTTCAAACATCTCGCCTTGCTCAAGCTCGGTACGTATCGAACTGTCGGGATGATTGTCGGCAAAATCAACAAGTATTTTGACTAGTTTTACAATACCAGAACTAGGACAGCCATACAAATCTATATCTGTACGTGAATAAATAGTGATGAGCTGCTTTACAATTCCATATTCTTGAAACACCTTGATCATCTTGTCCTTGTTTGTAGATTTTTGAATCATGTCGTTGACATATTCAAACAGATACAAAGAGTCACGTATATCGACATCACACATCGATATCGTCAATTGCTCAAAAATCAACGATCGTGCAAGCGATACAGGAAAGTCGCGCATACCAGATGCAGCTGATCCTGCTACCTTGATTATGCGTGTTTTTAGTCCAGAGTTGTCGCTGTGTTTGATATACAAGTCGTTCAGTGCTTGAATCAACCCCGACCTTATCAACTCGGCTGAAATCACTTCACAATTTCTAATACTGCAAAAACTCTGAATAGTATCAATACTTTGATCAACCACTGCTTGATCGACACTCCTGTATTCATGTCATGTCAATCCAACCATGTCAAATTTACCAATTATGATGACTGGACACACATTCATGCATAACACCACATACCTGAGCATATTGACTATTGCTGGAATGATGCCGCATCCCGCTGCTTTCACTGGGTTATGATAACAAATACTCCAAAATATGGTTTGGAAATTTTCGATAAAACCAGCAGCAACTAGACCATTGGATGATTCCAGTCGTGAAACAAGTCCTGACAACACGATGCCAAGCTAATGATATTGTTCAATGTCAAGTATACAATCAGATCAACATGACAAGACACTGTCCAAACTGATCCAATATTGTATCATTGTAAACATACATTTTCATCATCAACCTCACTGCAAACTTGCAAGAACAGGTCAATTGCCAATGTGAGCATTTCTTGATTGGACTCTTGAACAATAATCTCAACCATTGGCTTAAAATCAATTTTACATTCTTCTCTCCAGCGTCTATAACTGAACAACTCTGTGTATGTTTTTATCGCCTATATGGATATTGACACTGGGTGAGTTGAATTTCAATCATTTGATCAATATCAATCATGACTTGCCGCCATTTCGACTTGACGGTTTGATGATTGCATGAGTTGTGAAAGTTGGTTGCTTAGTCGTTGAGATACTTTGAACTGACTATCACAGTACATCATACTCGCAAACACTATAGCAAACTCCATTATTTTGATCTACACAACACATGTTGATTAGTTTAGTCATGAACAATCCATTATTGTTACAATATATGAATACCTGTAAACTGGGTTGATTATACTCCAAATACTTGGCTGCAATATCCTCCAATCCAATACTCTGTAAGTGCTGAAATGCATCTGTAGACCCTGTCACTCCAAACCAACACAAAGTCAACAACAGTTTGAACTCATCAATAATCCAATGGCTATTAAACTTACTGTAGCCCTGTTGTTTCAACTCCAATAGCAATACAAGCAGTCTGTCCCATATTTGTCCAGCCTTGTGTAGTTGATCATCCGTTGTTAACAGTTTCAGATCTTCCAGGTGTTTGATCAACTCTTTCATGTTATCAACACAATCCATGTTTGATAAAATTAGTAAAGTTGAATTTTAATGACAATTTCATTCATGCGAATGTCCAACAATTGCCAACAATTGTTCATGTTTGGATTGTTGTAAAACACACAAACGAGTTGTTCCATTTTAGTATTGTTTTGATCAGTTTTTTGTAACAAAATTGGATTGTTATCAAACATGCATTTAGAAATACTGTAAATTAATATTTTGAATGTGATCGTTGTGGATTTGGTTCAATAAACAAACTAGTTTACTACAACACATGGTAATGGATTACTAAACATCATCATAAATCATATGGACTGGACTGGACTGGAATGAGATCAATGACAATCGCATTACAAGCAGTGTGTTGTGATTAAACCATCGAGTATTTCCAAATACAAACTTGAATGAAAAGTATTGCCACAAGACTGATCAACTGTATTACTGTTTACACTGTGGTATTATTAATGTATTGGAATATTTGGTGTTCAGATACACAATGATAATGGTAGTACAACTCATGGCAGTTGTATAGACCAAATGTGATTAAAGCCAATAATAATGTCAGACAAGATTGGATAATGAATTAGCCTGTAAATCATCAACATTGACCAAGATTGATTGAAATGGTGAGATTGCGATCGTATCCGTGATTCAGAATACAACAAATGTGTGTACAGAGTTGTATTGACAACATTGGCAGTCCAACACAATACATGAATGTGAGTTCAAACTTGATGATTGTACAATGTATGATTACTAAGAGTGCACAAAGTGTAGATTCAACATTATATTCTGATTGTGTGTCATATAATGGTTGTATATCAAACAAGTAATGCAGTCAATGTGTAGTAACCATTGCATATTGCAATGTATAATACAATCATTGTATGATGAATATGGCTGTAAATCAAAGCGTTTGCGGTTAAACAACACTCATGAAGGGTGCTTTTCAATATACTTGATCAAAGGGTCGTAAAAGCATAATTAAATCGACACGATCATCAAATTGATCAATATGATATTGTGGATAGGGAGCATCATACTGTCTAGTTTGATATTGGCTCACTACAAGCAATCAAATAACCCTGTATTGCTGGTTAACCTAAAAGGGTTGGTTTGCTATACAAAACATACAAATACAATCGATTGAGTTCAACTTTATAATCGACACCAATCTCGACACTACTTTTGTATTAATCGTTTAAATCTATTATCAATCTGATGAAATTGGTTGATATTGTATTCGTGCTGAGCGTGGCAGCAACTGCTAATGCAATACTGGTTTCAGATAACGGCAATGGTTCACCACAAGCATCAAGCACTTCCAGTCAAGTGTCTGGCCCAACTGATGAACCTAATCCAGGCACTTCAGATGAATATCAGGAAGAACCAGTGAATTTAAGTTTTCCCGGCCAGATCCAACAGCAGCCAATGTATCAACCCAATCAAAACCAGCGACCAACTGTGATTGTAGCTGGTCCAAATCTATTCAAACAAGGTCGGAAACGCATAATTGATTTAACCACTTCCGATCAAGACCAACAACCAACAGATGTAGCTGGACCGAGCACTCCAAAACAAGTCCGAAAACAACCAATTGGTAAAACCAGCCAAATCCAGCAACAGTCAATGATTCATAACGAATCGGGCAATACTGTTCCAAATCAAATAACTGTATTGAGCAAAAAATATCAAAAAACCTTTGATCGCATGACGAAAAAATTTGAATGTTTTAAAAAGATAGCAAGAGACAAACACAAAGAATATTATAATCATGCAAACCTTAAACTCAGTCAACAGTTAGCATTAGCAATGGGCAAAGAAATACCTGAATCAATGTGCGATCCAAACACTGAAAAAAGGTTAAAACAAGAGTATGAAAAGCTAAGGAGAAAAGTAGTCAGTGCCAGACAACGATTGAAGGATTTTATGAGAAAGCATGGTTTAGAGTTTGACGAGCCAAGTTCAAATCTGGATTGATAATTTGTCAATGAATTTGATTTTGATTTGAATAAATTTAAGCTTTCTGATATGTTGGTGTTTGTCGAGTATTGTGAATGAATCAACAATCATACCATTGATAGTATATTGTGTTGGGTATTACATCAACAGTTATTAGATTGTTGATTGATACATTGACATGCTTGTTCCATATACACCAATGAACTGATAACAACCAGTGTTGATTGTAACTATCAATCGCACTTGCAATCACTTGTCAGTTGCATGATACCACAAACTGATCATGTCGTGTATTGATCAATTAGTGATGTATCAGTTTATAATGTAATATATGCGGTGTTTACGCAGTATGGTATTGACAGCCATATTGACGTCAAATGGACCATCATATGACACAATCAGACTATAATGTTGAATCTACACTTTGTGCACTCTTAGTAATCATACATTATACAATCACCAAGTTTGAACCCACATTCATGTATTGTGTTTGTCAATCTTTTCAATACAACTCTGTACACACATTTGTCAATGATATTCATGTTCAGATATCAAGCACTCCACTATACGATGGTGTGTGTCACATGATGACCATTATATTTATCAAGTAGTCAATATGCAGTAACAAAGCCAACCGGATATGCAATCATTATATCCGGAGCAGAATACAAGCGGTTCATTTACGTGAATACAGTGGTAAATGGCGCACCCGCGCAGAATGGATCACTTTTGCATTATCTTGCAGTAACCGCCTCTTGCTTCAAATAAGCAATGGCTAAATATTTGTCGCGCCTTCCTACTAGAGATTGACTGCATTGCCACTTCAGTTGGCATTTCAACCCCTGTTTTTTTAAAATTAAACTATACTTGAAATCTACTCTTCTGCTTATTGCATAGTCAATACCATACGATCGACAAGTTTGGACTCGAATTCATTCATTTCAATTCATATATTAAACTCGACTATTATGATACCATCAATCCAACTCTACAACTCCACTTGGACCCTAAAATCTTGCAAATACGTTTGCGCTCTAATCCAAGAGAACATGGTTGCACATCTTGGGAGTGCGATTCCAACAATTTCCATGACAATTTTATAATGTTTGGTTTGATATTGGACAAATGGGATGCACTGGGACAAGAGTTTCTTTTATGCTCATTTTTGTACAGAATAGCTAAATGGATATTTAAACTTTTAAAGTATAAAAGACAATGTTCAGTAAATGTGGTGGGAACTGGCACGATCATTTCATGAGATTGGCTGTTTATGTATTTTGACTTATTTAATGTTCCATTACATGAACACGATGGCAAATGGCAAACCAAAAATATTGTAAACATCCAGAACCATCTGGCTATTGCTTTTTGGTTTGTTCCCAGTATTCAAACTTTTATTTAGTTCAAGCTTTTATTTCAACCCAATATTATTTTTGAAAACCATTTCATACTACTAACATCACAACTACTTTTTTTACCCATCAATCATCAGAATCAAAATATGGCCAACACCTTTCAAGAGTACTTACGGCTTGGCCCATGGGAAATATCTCGCCGCCGTCATGATCGTGCAAACTTCTCTGTTGGATTTGTCGAAGAATGGTGGCAAAGAAACCCACCAGCTGCTTATGACTCGCCCAAGTTGGGACGACTGACACCTTTCCAATGTCGTGAACCCACTATTACAGGCATGAGCAGGGAAGAATTTCGTGAGCGTGTTCATCGCAATAATCATCTTCGTAGCTCAAACACCACTCTAAACGATAGTCTAAACAGGTCGTCTGTAGTTGGTCAAGACAGGCCAAGAGTGTCTTTTGGATCAACTGATATTGTCATGTATTTCAAAGACGAAAAAGCAGATTCAGACTGTGCTCGTAAAGCCAATGACTGCATAAATGACGACCATCAATTCAAAAGTCATCACACTGGCATTTACCAGTCACAAGATAAAAGTCTCGATCGCAGCAACCAGAGCTATATGACATTTTGCTGTCTTGAAAAAACCAATTCTAGCCATGATATTTCAACCACAAATAGGAACGAATCCATACTAAATCAGCGTCATTCACAATCAGCAGATAGCCTAAACATCTGCACAACTTCCACGGATGACATGAAAATGAATGATGCATACAATTCCGATTCGATGCGTACTATTCGAGCAAACTCTACATCTACGCTCGTATCTGCATCAGAATTTCCCCCATTCACAAAATCCCATTTGGCAGCATCCAAAAAAACCTCTTTTACATCCAACCCAGCCGCTAAACCCCCGCCTTTATCCAACAGTAACAATCAATCTCCTTCAGAAACTACAGCAGATGCACGCATACAGGAGATTGTGCCTACCCAGTTTATTTTTGACTCCAGCAATTCCATCGCATTCTCGCATCCTGAGCCTTTTGACTTTTCTATGAAAAAAGCTCATCGTCGTACATCGTTTATTCTTGACGATATAATCAACAGCAAAACTTCAAACGTCACTTTGACTGATGCAGAGAATCTACCTAAAACTATGCCTGACGCAGAATCTAAAAAATCAGATATAGACCCGCTTCTCTCGACTGTGCTTGATGCGCCAAATCATTCAATCAGCCCAACAGTATCCATCACAAGTGATACGACAGAGCTAAACGACATAATGATTGATCCCAAGCCTGACGCAGAAGCTAAACCAATTCATTCAAATATTTTAGACTCTAATCAAGTTGATCCTACATGCGCGACAATATATCTGAATCCCATTGAAGTGCAAGGTATAAGCATTCCCGTCCCATATCGCGATATTCCAAAAGATCTACCTTGTCATACTTATGAGCAGGATCGATTGCAAATCGAGGCTGTAGCAGAATACTTGACCGAATCTTGCAGGCATATACCATTGGATGCATTTCCAATCTCACTGGCTCGTCGCAGTACAAGTATCCATGATATGGACCGATCAAGCATTGTGGCTCCGCCATTCAACTCTCCAGTGTTATCCCGTTGCTCAATTTTCAATAATATCCATCAACTCGACTATCCTCTGCCTCTACCGGCTTCTATCAAGGATAAAGGTCGCGATATATCTGTACTCACTCTTTTAGCTATGCGCGAGAAAAAGATTGATACAGTGAACGAACTTTTAGTCAAACTGATTCAAGCTGCAATCAATGTTGCCCAGCATGTTTCTGACAATGAGTATGTTCGTATTGCAAAATTGCTTATTCCTACCACATTTCATCCACAAATGGTCGATGTACACATCAACTACAACTCGGACTATATACTGTACGAGGAGGCTGATGGAAAATTCATTCTTACAAAACCGGATGATAGTTACTTTTACAATCAAGATAGACTTTGCAAGATGCATCGTACACAGTTCAAGTCGGATACAACAAAACCATCAACTCTTGCTGCACCAGCTTTATCTTCAAAACCACGTACTCGTAAAACAGGATCCAATCACAATCCTAGATTGTACTCGGATCAGTCAAATGGTACATTGACACAAACTTGTGCAGCATCTTCACCCCATCAATTGGCCAATATACCATCAAAATCGCTACATGTGCATTCAAATAGATCCCAAGATGCATCCCTTTCATGTATTACGCCAACTGATGAATTGACATTGAACAATAGTCATTCAGTAGCGAGTTCCTCTGGCGCGCATCCAACCGAATACGACACATCAAAGTACCATAATGAACCGTCCTTGACAAAATCAATTGACAATTCATCTGCTACTTATATACGGGTTGACTCATCTGAAAACGTATGCTATGACGATCTAGTTGACTGGCAATATGTGTTGCCTAAATCTAGCCGGTATCAGCGTCGTACATGGGTGCAATACATTTTAGGATTTAAATAAAGCGCATATTTGAAAATCAAATGAATGTTTAGGCAGCAAAAAATAAAGTTTGTGAATATGGACCGAGCCTTTAGTTTGATGTGTGCCAATCTCATTGACATGTCCGTGTATTGCTACCAAAATAACGCTTGATATCTCATTAATTTGATAAATCATCAAATTAATAACATTGGTATGAATCAATTGCATTCTACTCTTTTACCAATGGAAAAATACCAGAATGTATTGGTAAACATGGATTATACTTTATTGTATTTGAATACAAGATTGATGACCAGACATGTCTACACTATTAAACTAAACTATGCAGTAGCATCTCAAAAATCAATAGTGCACACATTAGATTCACAAACCTCGATATCAATTATAAATTTGTATTTAAATAAAACACAGTCACGATACATCAGTTGCCCACATATGGATATGATGATCGCTCAACCCAAACAGCATCACTCGATTGCCATGACCATCTCGAGCTGATTTGATATCCATCATGGGTGCAATAAAAGGATGCATTGTTATGATTTGAGCAGGGCTGACGGATGGTAAGCGTGTATCCCACAGCGTTACATTACCCAGAGCTTCATTCCCAACTACCAAAGCCAATCGTGCCGAATCAAGTATTTCAGACTGTTCTTTTTGTGGCATTGACTCGGTTTGATGATTTGAGATCAAAAGATTGTCAGTTCCCAATTGGCAAAAGTGAATTCGTGTCATGGTTCGCTGGGGATCAGGAACCCATATATCTCTTGATTTAGTATACGCAACATCACCAATGGATTGGACGACCCGTCCGATTCGATAAACTGTACCTCCTGTTGCAGGACGAAGTGTTGCTGCCCAGACTTGGGTTGCTACATCATATATCATACACGTGGAGGTTGCTACCATGGGGTGCAAGGATTCACTCGTATCATCTGATACATTGCTGGTTATACACTCTCCAAATGCTAGCGGGTAGGGTAAAGGCAAGATACTCAATGATGGATTGACTGAGACAATTGATTGAGACGGATCAATCAACGGAATTGCAAAAATATCATCAAACGTTCCACCATAAAGATATACTGCTGGTTCAATCGGATGTTCAATGGTTTCTACCACAGATTTAGTCAATGTAGACCGATGCATAGTGTTGGTTTGTGAATCTTGCACTGGAGGAATCATTGCACCACAATATAATGAATGCACTCCTTTTCCGCGACTGAATGAAAGTGAGATTCTCTGCAGCGCTCCCATATGGCCTACACGAGTATCAAACTGCATAATCTCATTCTTTGATGTACCAACATACACACAAGTTTCAATGTGTGAATCAAAACAACATGACCATCCTGGACTATCCAGCTGAAATCTAAATCACAGTATCAGTTATTCATCATGTTCATAACACTAGTAATCTTTTTCACTTACGTTTGTAGTACAGTGCATGATTCAAACGATGACAGCTTTAGAGTTTTATCATGAGAGGTTGACAGCAAAAGGCCATTTTCTTTGCATGAAAGTTTAAAATCACGAATGGTTTGAGCATGTATAGGATAAAACTGCCTACGATTTGTATCGTTTAAATTGATTTTAAGAATACCGTGAGCGTCATTATTTTGTGTGTGTTTAAGAGATACTGGATCAAAATAAAACGCATATTCAAACTGTAAATATTAACATTACAATTATACATGGCAGTTTTGCAAGAGGTTTACCAAAAAGGATGTTTGTTTTTTCGCAAATCTGTATGGTTCGCGATGTCGACTTCTATGCAATCAACAAAGTGGTCAACTCACGCATACGTCGTTCCAGATCAAAGATTTACAATAAACTAACCTCGCTGGGTATATCAAGGATACTGGTTAGAGAGAATACAAGTGATGACATGTCAAATGCTTTTACACGAGTATTTTGCATGCCAATTTCTGCAACATTGTCCATTGAAGAACAAGCCATATGTGATGATAGATTTTTCCGTTTCAAATCCTTCAACTCTTGCTTCAACCTATTGTAAAGCCAAGAGTGAGTACAACATCGGGTGATTCGTGTTTATAATTGAGATCTTACTGCTCGACTTGGCCCATTCCACGAAACAATTCTACTTGAACCTCGTCCAAATTCCGTTTGTAAGCATCTCGCAACAGACACAGTTGTTGTACCTGATTGAGCAATGTCTGGTTGTGAGCCATCAGTTTTAGATTTTCTTTTTGGTACTTGGAAGCCTCAGCCAATGCGGTATCTCTTTCCACTGAATCAATTGCAACAACATTTTTTGTGAATATATGGACCATATTTTGTTTTGTGATGGGTTTTCTGAGTGTATAACATGTCAATGAATAGCGTAAGTTGAAATCATTAAAACACAATAGATTTTGATCAACATGAACGTACTTGCAAGTTGGACAAGTGGCTTTTTGACCTTTGCGAGCACTCTCGATCCATTTTACAATACAACTAAACCATGGATTAGTTTTACACAAGATATCATGACATGTAAACACGACAGTACCTTTTACCAAACAGATGACCACATTTAAACGCAACAATACGATGGGGACCAAACGAGGTACAACCCTCTATACAGATTGGACACTCTGTAGCAGATTCCTGGGGTGGTGACACAAAAGACGTTGTAGCAGGACTGTTATGATCACGTACATCGATTGCTCTACGTTTAGTGGATTGTCTTACAGACGACTGAAAATCGCTTTCAACCTGCGACGTTGCAGGATATAGAACCCGACGTGACGGAGTGGAAGATGAAGCAGCCTGCTGCAATGAATTATTCAACAATCCATACACCTGGGCAACCTGATCAGCAACTGTTTGACTATGAGTTTGAGAGGGATTGACTTGATTCTCATTAGGTAACAACTGTACTGTATCTGAGACTACAGAAGTCTGTGAATGGATATCATTACTCGTGGTATCTGACGCAGTATCTAATGTAAGGTCCAATATATGATTTTGATCATTTACAACAATAGTATTATTTTGTAGCGGTTGCTGTTCTGACAGTACTGGCTGTATCAACTGATGAACGGATATCACATCACTTGTAGGATGTGAGGATGTAGTAGAAAAAGTGTCACTGTCTGTATGAACATGCAGTTGTTCATTCAAGAGTGGATCATCAGCAGTAAGACTAGACAGCAACTCTCTGTCCATATTTGAAAGTAGCAACTGTTGACCCAACTCCACCTTGTTGTTATCCAGACTAAATGTTGAATACTTTTCAAGAAAAGATGAATGGCAAACAAGTGCAGATTCATTCTGCAACAACAGTCTTGATCTTTATAGCAATGCATTCACAATTCATGTCAAATTTGAAACTGAATTATTTGAATTGTTTCAACATTTTAGTCATTCAAGATTTGTAGTCTTTACAAGAGATGGTAAGTAACAATGCTAGTGTGCTATGAAAATCACTTTCAATTAAACATTATTTCATTGTCAAGTCGGCACTGTTCAAGATTATATCCTTACTGCGAGTACTGCTGCTGTTGATATGCACATGCACTTATGTTCGAGGTCAGTTTCCTTCGATGCTAGACAAGAACAAGACTGGAGTTTTGGGACTATTTTGGAAGGCAGCTCGCATAGGTATAGAAATACAATGAATGAGACTTGTAGACTTCAACTAATATTGTGTCAATGGAACAGGAGAACGACTGTCACCATATGTGTCTATTCTATGTATTGTCATGGCTTGCAAGATGATGGTATCTGAATGAGTCGAGTAAATATATCATCCATACAACATTATACATAATAGACTGTAAGAGTGGAGCATCAGAGTTTATTCATAACCAAAAAGATTAGTTTTCTTTGGGATTGCGAACCACAATAACAGGAATCTTGGCATTGGACAGTAAATACTGACTGACGCTGCCCAGTAAAGCACCTTGCAGAGAAGTGCGGCCTCTGGATCCAACAATAAGAATAGTAGCCTTGTGGACATCAAGCATTTCCAGTACAATCTTACGAGCATCACCCCATCCAACATCTACTCGGAATGGAATGACTTGCTTGCCAAGATCATTACGGATTTTCTTGACTTGGTCATGAAGTGAGATCATGGCCTAAGCAGTAGTATGTAGATCAAGATCATTAGTAATAATTGACTACATGTCAAGCATGAATGTCTCAACTTACATCAGTACGCTTGTCACTGGGTGTCTCACTCTTGCCATGCGAACCTTCCAAAGGGCGGATAATTTGCACAACCGAGACAACGTCATTCTGACGAGCAACATTTTCAAAAGTGAACTTGACTGCCTCAAAGGAGTAGTTTGAAAGATCCACAGCAACCATCAGATGGCGAGAGCCTTGAGGAAGGTTTCTGTGAACAACTACTTGATCACCAACAGTGGTATAAGAAAGAGAGTCCAGAACAGGAAGTTGAGTTGTATCAGTCATGATAATGAATGGATTCAATGGTAAGAATATTAAATGTCTTTTCAGCCCCAACTTGGAATCTCAATTCAACTGCTGGTTAGACTGATCTTGTTACAATCCACATGTTAGTCGGGTCTAGTTGATGTTTAGTAAATTCAACATGTTTGAATCAATACCGCACATGCTTGGCTGCTGAGTTGTCATTGCTGTGTTGGTAGATGATCTTGTTGCTTTATAGCGTGCATATAGAAACTGTTGGACTTGATCTATTTACTATTCACTGTTGGACTTGATCTATTTACTATTCACTGCTCGAGGTTAGATCTTACACTCAAAGATGTATGCTTTCAAACCGTAGTCTGAATGGTTTCAAACCGTAGTCTGAATGGTTTCTGAATGTATAAAAATAATTGATTCTAGAATGCATGATTGAATAATGTTCGAGTTAATCTCCGAGTTTAATCTGACAATCAAAACTGTAAAACCAACAAACGATTCTTGCATTTCTACATGAATACAATTGCAATTTCCATTTCATACAACTTACCCTCAGGTCATGTGATGATTTTCAGTTTTGGTTTTTTGACCTGTTAATCGTCTGAAAGAAATATCATGACAACCGTTGCTAGACAACTGCTGTCTCGATCCTTGCCTCGTCTCATACAGTCTTCTGCAGAAACTAGATCATGGCATACTTTTACTCAATCTTTTTCTTCTAATTCAACTTCTACTCCATCATCTAAATTCGGAAGTAATCTTTTAGAAATCCTGCAGGAATCAATCGATTCTTCTAAACCCACTCTTAAACTGGGACTCTCTTCTGATATGGTTCCCAGCACTGGTCCAAAAGAAAACCTATTTGACTCGATTGATTCAAAAAGTATCTTTTCTTCTTCGTATTACCTTAGCAGATCATCTGGAGCACATATTCTTCACATCTCTGCCAACAAAAACAACACCATCTGTACTCTAACTGATTCGACTGGAGCTACTCTGTGCTGGACTTCTGCTGGAACCTGTGGTCTTAAAAAGGCTGCTCGTGGAACAAGTGATGCTGGTCACCAAGCAGTCTTGGCATTAACAGAAAAGGTCGAATCTAAAAACATTACCATGAGTAATGGAATCCATTTACGAATTGCTGGGTTTGGACCTGGTCGTGAACAGGCATTTCGCGCTGTTCGTGCTGCTGGATGGTCAATTGTGCGTATTTCTGACTATACTTCATATCGCCATGCTGGCTGTCGTCCTAGAAAAAAGAGACGTTTGTAATATCTGAACTTGATTGATGCTTTCTCTGATATGATGATCAAATGAAAAATATCTCGATGCAACAATAAAATATATTACATGTTCAACATGTAATACCAAGATTCATATAGCTAAATGTGCAAGTCTCTACTCGTATCAATAGTTTATCAGCAGTGTGAATCACAATTGTCCAAACCGTCAAAATCAATCTGGATTCCTTGTACACAAAAATCACATTCCAATGTTTTATCATACAAGACTGTTTTAAACAACAGAATCAAACCATAGTATCAAGTGTGATTGAACAAGGTGCATAGTAGTATTATAAAATAACAAACGATTGGAAAATTCAAATACCGAGTAAGCATGTAAATATAAACTTGCTGATCACCTAGTCGCGAATGAATGTGCTTTCAATACTAAACATTAAACTGACTCGACTGATTTAATCCTGGCATGTTTATTTTATTTGTCAGTGTCTATGATCAGACAAATATGAAAGTATCACTACTCGATTAAAGAAAAATTCGTCACTTGAAACTGATATACAGTTCCGATAGTTTTTGAGCAACAGTATGTTTAAAACGACTCCATTTTGATCTATATGATTTAAACAAGTATTAGTGTTTATAATCATGACTGGTCTACTTTGATCACTCCATTAAATATAAACTTACCGTGGCAAAGGCCAAAGTACTTTTCTCTCATTCATAATAGTAGGATATCCGTCAGTTGGGGTATCGCATCCACATCCAGGGCCAAATCCAATGCGTCCACCTTCTCGATCAAACACGACCTTAAGCCGGGTCATGAAAGGTATGCCAAGAGTTATGCTAGTCTCGGATCCAAAACCTACAGAAAACAAATCTAAAATTCAACATGTAAGAGTTTTGGATTCAAACCATGTATACAGTGTAGTTTTCAAATTATTACATTGATTAGGACCAATCTGTTGCAAGTAGTCTTTGGGTCCCAATGTAATTTTCACGGTGGAATAAGACCCTTTCTTTTTCTTTGGTACTCCAGTATCTAGTACAAACGAAAGCGTCGGTAACTTTTTCCAATCAATAGTATACTTTAATGTATCAATGACATCTCTTTGCCAAAAAAATGCCAAAGTTTCCATGGTAGTAAGCGGTGGTTGAAATGCGCGACTTGCTGTGATCGCACCAATTAGTCCATCCAAAACTAGATGAGGAAGACGTATAGATCTAGAGCATGTGTCTATATATGAAAATGAATTCTGTTGAAATTCATTTTCTTTGAATGCAACAGGCAAAATCACAGGCCGGTCATTGACCAATATATTCCTGATGCTGACAGTGAAAAAATCAAGTGATGGCGAATAAACCCACGCGACACTTTCTCCATTCGTTCCACACTTTTTAGTCGAATCTGTGTTTCCTATATCAATGTAGCTTTTTTCAGACAGCCCATAAGGGCATAGCTGAGTAGCGACTTGGTTTTTAAGAATAGTTTTACTTTTGTACCAGGCATCCATTACACTTTCTGGACTCGTGTGATAATATGACAGGGAGGGATAAGCAAACCCAAATACTCCCTGCCTGGGCTCTCCGCTGATAACTGTTGGCTCTATCGACTGTTGATAGATTCCTACAGTCGGAGAATTGGTAGCAATTATACCAGTATCTGGAATATTTACAGTAGCTAGAAACCCATATCCTTTCCATGTAGCACCGCTGCCGTAACTTCCAGAAACAGGTTCTCCACGCTTAGTATCTGGCAAAGTAGGACCTCTGTAGTTATTCAAAGTCGATAATGGTACGATCAAATCAGAAGTTGCAGAGTCCACTAGGACGTTGAGCTATTTCATGAAATATCATCAGATGTATTAAAATGGTATGTAATAATGTCAAACTACAACTTGTGCAATACATACATTAATTCCATTGGCCTGAATTTTCATTTGGAAGCATTTGGATGCATCACCATTCAACGGCAGAGGGGATCGTTTTGATAATCTACCATTTAATTGAGCAGAGGATTGCTCAGAATCTAGCAGTGAAACTCGGACTGCAGTAACCACTTGAAATGAAAGTAGAATATATCGAAGCATGACTTGAAATTTCGGGAACGAGGTGGGTTTTATAACGATTGTGCTATTGGCCATCCTGTAACTACTTTGCATGTACACACATGCTTTTTGAAATGCTTAGTGGTGTACTGGCCATATTCATGCAAAGTAGACCACTACTGCTCATCTTTTAGGGACTTTGCTTTGAAACCACTAATCAGATATTCATTATGTTTTCATACTAGATTGGCACACCGCCTCCATGAACATTCTTAATTCACAACATACATCAGATGAAACTCAAACTAGAACTTTGAGTCTGCCATTTATTTACATTTAGTACAACTATGCATTGTACAATCATCAAGTTTGAACCCAGATTCATGTGCTGCAATATGTATATTGTATTTGGCTATTCTTGACCCAATTCCATCTTATTGCAAGAAAATCTCGGATACAACTGCGTTCTAGTTTAAAAAAATAATTGCAATATCAGTTGATCCAGTGTAGCCATAAACACCAACACAAGAGCATGCAGTCTATTTTCAAACTGAAGATCTTGACAGTTGGTTTCTACAATAGTCTGCCGTACGCTCCAGTTTGAGTTGTCAAGCACGAGCCGCACAGCTCAGGACTTGTTCTGATGCTGCTGGTTGTTTAGCATCAGAATATCGAATGCCAACCCTGAGTTGAGATGCACAACCGCATAGATTTCTATTCTCCTTATTTTACCGCCGTATTCATGTAAAACAGCACACTAAAAAGGGATTCTAAACAGCCAATATTGTGACATGATGAGTAGTATATAAGGGACGCTGAACAATACCGTTTTTGTTTAATAATGGTGAAATGCAATGTTTGCGATTCTCATTAGAAGTTGTCTGGATAATAAAATAAAATTCCATTTTGATTCCGCGAGAATAGATACTTGAAAAAATGTATTAAACTTTATGCTAGACAAAATATTTATTTCATTCATAGTAGATAATTCATGCGATCAACTCAAAGGTTTTGGTCTTGGAATTGATTGAAAGCAAGAGCATGTTTTTGGACAAGAAATCCATTCCAAGATCATTGACATTGGCAAAGTGCTTGTCACGAGGTGATAGATGGCATGTGGTAATGCTATCCGAATGAATCATGATAGGTAATTGGTTTACAATGTTGCTCTCAGGCTTTTAAATTGATCGCATAAACTATCTACTATGAATGAAATAAATATTTTGTCTAGCATAAAGTTTAATACATTTTTTCAAGTATCTATTCTCGCGGAATTAAAATGGAATTTTATTTTATTATCCAGACAACTTCTAATGAGAATCGCAAACATTGCATTTCACCATTATTAAACAAAAACGGTATTGTTCAGCGTCCCTTATATACTACTCATCATGTCACAATATTGGCTGTTTAGAATCCCTTTTTAGTGTGCTGTTTTACATGAATACGGCGGCAAAATAAGGAGAATAGAAATCTATGCGGTTGTGCATCTCAACTCAGGGTTGGCATTCGATATTCTGATGCTAAACAACCAGCAGCATCAGAACAAGTCCTGAGCTGTGCGGCTCGTGCTTGACAACTCAAACTGGAGCGTACGGCAGACTATTGTAGAAACCAACTGTCAGGATCTTCAGTTTGAAAATAGACTGCATGCTCTTGTGTTGGTGTTTATGGCTACACTGGATCAACTGATATTGCAACTATTCTGCATATCATGACTACTTTGGTCGATAACGAACATGATGCTATTCTCATGTCAACATTGCTTATCATATTTGAACGATTAATACACCCCATTCATATCTGTTTTACCCCACTTGCTCAATATATGTGAAATGAATGCAATGATCGGTATATCAGTCACTAATTCTGTGCTACAAGCCATGTGTATATTTATTGCATGTATTACATCATATCTCATTCCGATTGTTGGGCTAGTTCATCTATTTTGGTCTCCGTTTGGTCTCCATTTGATACTCCATTTGACATTCCATTGTTTCATTGATGCTGTAAAGTCGAAACATTGTTTTGGAGTCTGTTGAAAATGGATTCTGGATAGCATTGCCAGTCTACAGCCATCAGACACTGTTTCCTGAACCAACCTGCTCCATTATGCTTATCAATTGATTTTGATACTAGTACTATATAGTAGCATACCTACCACACCAAGTTTGGCACATGCAAAGCAAACTGATTGGCAAGACAATGACTTTGTATAACTATAAAATCATGCATGGCGAATATGCAATTCAATCTGATGCAACTTTACTTGTCGAAACTCGAGTGATGTCCTATATGACCAATAGGATCACATCAGGACATACTCATTCAACCCTAATCCTGACCATGTTATTTTCAGCAATCCCTGATGTATGATGTGGCTTAGTAGCAAGCAACCAATCTTGAATTTAGGGATTATAATCCTTGGTTAATATTGCACCAGAACCAATCAGTTTATTCCAGGTGCTCTGGTTAACCGCTCCAACACTCTTATTCGGGGCACAAAAAGTACATAGTCACTCAGAATAGCATGCTAACCAAGCATTTTGGGTGGGCCGCCCGTTATTCTGCAGCTTGGTGGACTATGACCGCCCTTGATTGAATTCAAAAACCTACAAATTCCATTAAAATCAGGATAAATCAAATAGGGCGACAGGTCTGATTCAACCGTGACATGCATTAGTAACCCTTTGAAACTATACTGATGATAACTGCATACTTATTTATACAGGTAATGCTTTGACGACAAACCCCATCATCACTCCTTATCGAGCTTATAAATATCCAAGCAGCCCTATTTATAAACTATAAATACTGGCATTGAAGTCTGCACAATGACGCTGAAGAACACATTTCAGACAATTCAACACGATGAGACTCACTCAATGGGGTATCCTTCTTGGCGTTTCCAGCATGGCTCTTGCCGCCGTTCCTAACAGCGATTCAAAAGATAAATTTCACTTGCAGCGTCGTGCATTAGAATCACCAGAACAAGGTGTACACCTGTTTGCTCGCTCGCCTACTCCGGGAAAGCAAAAAATAAAGACATACAAAACTGTTCATATGGGCAAACATGGTCAAACGCACGTAAGCCAAAAAGTTATTCTGAAGAAAAAATGGAATGGAGGTTACAAGCCTGTGTATAAATCAACAACCGTTTCCAAAAAGAAACACGGATCGTCAGCTATCAAGGTCAAGCATTATTCAAAGGTTTACAAGGGCAAGGGCAAGGGCAAAGGTAGCTCAACTAAAAAAATTAGATACCGCTCGCCAGGTTACAAGGGCAAGTCCAGTTCAAGCCTCAAGATCAAACATCACTCAAAAAGTCACAAAGGCGGATATCACCCAGGAAGTCACCAGGTTAAGTATCAAACCAAGACTTTCAAGAGCAAGTACCATCCAAAAAACGGTTTCAAGATGGTCAAATATCACTCAAAAGGTGGTTACAAGGGCAAATACAAGTCCAAGTATTATTGGCTTGGGCGTTGATTTCAGATGTCTGGCTTCCAATGGCAACTACTTTTTGAATTATTGGTTTTAATATTGATACCGGATATATGCAAAACACTTGCAGTGACAACTTTTTGATTGCCATAAATCAGCTGAGAATAAATGTTTTTTCAACTGTAAATTGACTTGTGATATATGGATGATAGTGTGATTTAAAAGCCAAGAATTTCAATTTAATCACTTGATATATCGACTCTGATATGCAACACTATGCTGTGTTTACTGTGATCAGGTTTTTGATCAATCTTGGACTCACAATACATGATTTGTCATGTTGGATCGTGTGAATGTGTCATGGACTGCAACTGATCCTATACGTTACAATTTAGTTGCAGACACATATGCTGGACATTGACTGATGCATACTGTGCAACGACTGATCAGTGCGTGTGTAATCGCACACTTGGTGGTATTGTGCATTATAGTTGTTTGACAATGGATGGATGCTGGATTAGTCGGTTATATGCAACCCGTCTGAATCGACCTATTTGAACAAACACTCGATGTAACTGACAACAATGTGTATACATGTGTATACATGGATATACATGGATATGTGGTGGTGTATTGATCAGACTACTGACTGACAAGCAATCGGTTGACAGTCATATGGTGCTGGTATTTGAGTTGGAGTGACTGATCACAGAATGCCGAGTATTTGATGATAGCGTACCAGTGATAACAAACACAACTCTGACACCACCACTGGAACAGTCATACATGAGTTGACCAACAAACTCGTAGCACCGTTAGTATATGCTCGTACGATCATGGCATGTCTGCATGAAATCATCTCGTATTCCAGTATTCGAGTTTAAACGAAACTCATTTAAAAAGCATTGGTATTTGCTGTATCAATACAACTATAACCGATACAAATCATACACTTGCAGTAGTAAACACCGATGTGTGATATATTCAGTGATCGTGTGGTGCTCGATCGGTGTAATATGATCATGTCAAGCATATTATCGTATTGCTATAAATGTGATTGTATGACAATGGTGTGTATGAACAAGTGTACTACCATGTGACGATTAAAGTATACTTGCCGCATTACGATGCCGTCGTACAGCACACTTTAATGAAATCCAACCCTAATATTAAACTTCCGGCTTCAACGATTGATCATCATGTAAACACAACTCCCTTTAAACTACCCTTACAGTAACACTGGGTCAACACTGACCCTCTGACATTGACACAAATCCCTTAGGACGGTAGTTTAAGGAGCATGCTTGCAATATTATACACTAACATATAAATACAACCTAAACATCAACTTGCCAAATGATAATCTACAACTTGCTCGACTAAACCAGTAAAAATGAAACTTTCGATCGCCATATTATCATCGATCCTGCTTGCTTTCTCGGTCACTGTTGCCAATCCAGTTCTTGACAGTTCGACTACAAGTACTGCAACTACCACTTCGTCAGCATATCCTAGTGCGACTGAAACGAGCGGGACTAGTCATTCAACTCTTTTGGATCCGTATAGTCTATATATGGATCATTGCTATCCAATTAGTTTCAGTGTATTAGGAATGATCGAACTACTTGCATCAAATGCACATAAACTTGAAGAACTATCGCAAGATATTGAAAACAAAAGGGCTAGATTTGGCAAACAAAAGAAAGTGATCGATGAACTCAAGGAAAAACTTGGCAATTTAAAGAGTGACCCTTCGAGCAGTAAATCAGAGATTGCCAAACTCGAATCTACGCTTACTAACCGCAATAAAGCTTCCAAGAAACTTTGGATAGATTTAGGTATACTCTTCAAGAAACATTCAGCAATATGTCAGGAAATTACCAAGTTACGAAGGCAACTTAAAGACTATTTTAGGAGACATCATCCAATTGAAACAATGAATACTGGTGGTGGACCATATCTAAATAGATACCCTGTATTTACAAGTTGCTTTAATTATTACTACAGTCGCTCACCACAATGATTGCCACGATCCGAGTATGGTGTCGTTTCTCCAGATTTTGGTGTTTGGTAATAAACCCTTCAACCATAGACTCGTCACATTGTTGCAGCTCAGTAAACTATCGACAGCATCATCCAGTATATGTTGTAACGCAGCGTGTATTGCGTGCTGGTTTAATTGTCATTTGTGTTGCATTCGATGTCGCTTATTCAATAAACATCGTGTATTGCCAAACCATAGTGTATTATACTGATGGTTTGATCATACTACACCAATCAACTACTATGCATTGTATTGTATTGTATTAATCATTGCAATGTCATTTATGGATCCACGCGATTGTGTATATTTGTCATTTTGGGTTACCAATCAACCCACTCCATTTGACACCAACTCATTGGTATCACTATACTATTTTATTCAGGTGATACGAATGGACTATTACAACCATCAACAAATGTGTAATTGTCACTTGATATATCGACTCTGATATGCAACACTATGCTGTGTTTACTGTGATCAGGTTTTTGATCAATCTTGGACTCGCGGTACATGATTTGTCATGTTGGATCGTGTGGATATGTCATGGACTGCAATTTAGTTGCAGACACACATGCTGGACATTGACTGATGCATACTGTGCAACGACTGATCAGTGCGTGTGTAATCGCACACTTGGTGGTATTGTGCATTATAGTTGTTTGACAATGGATGGATGCTGGATTAGTCGGTTATATGCAACCCGTCTGAATCGACCTATTTGGACAAACACTCGATGTAACTGACAACAATGTGTATACATGGATATACATGGATATGTGGTGGTGTATTGATCAGACTACTGACTGACAAGCAATCAGTTGTCAGTCATGTGGTGCTGGTATTTGAGTTGGAGTGACTGATCACAGAATGCCGAGTATTTGATGGTAGCGTACCAGTGATAACAAACACAACTCTGACACCACCACTGGAACAGTCATACAACAGTTGACCAACAAACTCGTAGCACCGTCAGTATATGCTCGTACGATCATGGCATGTCTGCATGAAATCATCTCGTATTCCAGTATTCGAGTTTAAACGAAACCCACTTGAAAAGACTACACTGTTAACAAAAGTGTTGTTGAACAGGCGAGATCTCGAGTGTTTACAACAAATCAAGCGGATGGACAGCATTGCTTGTGTACCGTCATGTGGTGATATCACCTAGAATATATTATTAGCGGCATCATAGTGCGGCAAGTGTATTCTGATCGTTGATCTTGATATCGGGTGCCAGATCACTTCATAAACAATTGTGTAAAGGGAGATCCCTTTAAAGTTACCTTGGCATTGATAATAGTAAATCACTGCTAACCCTGGCAATAAATACGGTAAATGAAATAAAGCCAATCCCTTAGAGCGGTCATCCAAGGAACATGCTTTTAATATTATACAATAACGGATATAAATACGACACCAAACCGACGTATTGAATGGCATTCATCTACAACTTTCTCAGCCAAGACAATACAATGAAATTTTCAATCACCTTACTGTCATCGATACTTGCTGTCTGCTCAGTCACGATCGCTAATCCAGTTGATTCCAGTTCGACCACGAGCACTGAAGCTAGCACTTTGTCAGCCTCTCCAAGCGCGACTAAAACTGCTGAACCTACCTCGGTTCCTGATTCACTTTATGGCGACTATTCCGGCTGCCATTTGATTGATAGCGAGGGAGTGGTTTTGATTAAAATATTGGTAGAATATAGTAAAACTGCTGACATTTTAAAACAAGAAATGGAAGAGAAAAGAATCGAGATTGAAATCCAAAGACAAAAGGTGAAAACCCAAAGGAAAGAATTCGATGCTTTGGAAAGTGAAGCCGAGGAAAGCAATGACGCAGAAAGCTATGGATCAAAGATTGCCGAACTTGAACTTGGGATTGAAGGCAGTCGTGAGATTCTTAGGAAACTTCGAAAGCAGTACTGGGATCTCGATGAGGAGTTTGATGGCCTAAAGGAAAGACTAGCCGAGTTCCAAATGAAAATCCTAAAATACTTTTTGGGCAATGATGGATCTACACCACTGACTATTAATGATTTTCCACGCCTGGAATCGGTCCCTGGATTTACGGAATGTCTTGGCGAATTCTACAGTGGCTCGTTGCAGTCACTGTCACAATCTGGGTATGAGACAACTTTGTAGGACTCTGGTGTTCAGCAACGAATTGTTCAATCAAGCTCATCACATTGTTCGCAGCTCAGTAAACTATCGACAGCATCATCCAGCATATGTTGTAACGCAGCGTGTATTGCGTGTTGGTTACTTGTTATTGTGTTGCATTCAATGTCGTTCATTCAATAAAAACCTTTTATTGCCAAACCCAAGTTTATTGTAAATAAAACCCATTTAAAAAACACACCAAAAACTCGGCAAATAAGTAGTCTTTATTAGCCAATGTTTAAAAGAGAGTCCAAGTATAATAGGACGGGTCGAATCAAAAAATAATTGATGGGAAATAAACTCCAAAGCATACCATTCTATTGTCTAGAGTTCATCAAAATTTGGCTACTGTTGAAATATCCAGACTAGTAACTCAGTCATATATTTTTACACTCGCGACAAGACACTTTCGTAGGTGGGAACCATGTATTTGATGTTGATGAATGCATCTTCACCACCAGTCAATTCAAATTTTTCAAGCGTCTCTTGTATCAAATCACCAATATTCTCTCGCTTTTGCTGTGAGTAGTAGATACCATCGCCAAGATTGACTAAAACCCAACAAATTACAAAATGAGTGTTTGATTTTCACACTACGGATGGATGGATTTCGGATAATTACCATTTTTGTTTTTAAACAGATTAAATATGGGGAGAATCTGGCGGTAGTAAGGAACCAGTGCTTCGCCAACCATATCTGCCGACTCTACAAGATGCTGTAGCACCTTCAAGGTAGTGGTAATGACATGAATGTTACGAGTATTGAGAGCCTTTTTGATTGGAATAATAAGTTGAGGAACTACGGGGAGAATCTTATTTCCGCCCTTGTCAAGCAAATCATGAATCCCCTGACGAGCCAAAAAGGCAAATGGTTCTTCAGTCTCGCATAGACCAGAAAAAAAAAGTGGAAGATAATGATGATAGTCCAGTTTTTCTATATCCACCTAATTTGATATCATGGCATGATGATAAATACAACATGTAAACTCGTCAACCAATACTATTTATATACCTTCCAATTGATCTTATTGCCCTTGGCATCGTGGTTGACTGAAATGGGAAAGTCACCTCGATCATACAGTTTTCTAAAGCCTAATAATTGTTTCAAGTTAAATCATTTGGTTAAAAAGTAGTTTGTGTAGAAAAAGAGTAAATTGCTTGAATCTACGTAAAAACAACCAATACAGGACACATACTGGTTTTTTCCTTTGCCTTTTCGCTAAAGATATCCTCTACAGGAAAACAAAGAATTAGTAAATATTAAAGATACAAAATAAAAACAGTATTCAGACTACACGGCAGTAGTATATGATTGTAAATCAAGACCCATCAAGAGCTGAGCCAGTGACGATATTAGAATGCAGCATGACGCGTAATATCCATTTTATTCGTCACTTAGTAGACATGTATAGCTTCTGGTCATCCAGTATCAATAATGAAAAGATAACAGAAAACTTGCATAGTTTTAAAATAAAAATCAAGTCAAGACATACTAGGTTTATTTGGCTGTACTGGAGCAATTTTACGAGAAGCAAAAGCACCAGCCTTTGGAGGACTAGAGCCAGGAGGAGCAAAATAGCCACCAGCAGCAGCAAGCTGTTTTGCAGAGAGTTGAATATTAGAAATATCGATTTGTTTCTGACTATTATGAGGATGGTGAATATGAGCCATTGTAGATTTGAGTCGAGATTGGATATAAATCAAGCTGGAATTCAGTGCGAATCATGACCACGACACACGTGACTATTTATGACTGTCAGCGAGCGCAACGATTTCTTTAAATAGTTGATAAGCGACAAGGGAGCCAAACCATCAATACTATTACAGTTGGTACTATCTTGTAGTTTTTGAATTACTGTTTTTGATTCAATACTAATTACTACTGCATTCAGTTTCTACTTTACTGACCAGTTACTATTGAATTCAACAGTCAAATATACTCGACGTCATTCTCATCAACCAGCTCTATCATGGCTACCAATCAACGACCTAATACTCCTTCTGGGATTTCTGCTTCTTCCTCTTCTGCTGCAATTTCTGGCTCTACCAATGCTCAATCTAACCTCAAACCCATCCAAGTCAAGCTGGTTCTTCTAGGCGAAGCTGCTGTGGGCAAATCCTCGTTGGTGCTTCGTTTTGTTAATAATGAGTTTCAGGAAAACAAGGAACCCACTATTGGTGCTGCTTTCCTGACTCAAAAGTGTCGGTTGGATGATAAAATCATCAAGTTTGAGATTTGGGATACTGCCGGTCAGGAAAGATTCCATTCGCTCGCACCCATGTACTACAGAAATGCTCAGGCTGCAGTCGTTGCTTACGATATCACTAAACCTGTAAGTGTTGATGTGGAATCATTATTCCTGATACCATCCTGAACAAGTGTTTCAACTTCATCTCCGTGTGCTTGGATATTCTTAGGCTTCACTGGAAAAGGCCAAAGCATGGGTCAAGGAATTACAGCGACAGGCAAACCCTAATATTGTGATTGCTCTTGTGGGCAATAAGTTGGACTTGGCTGCTACAGCCCGTGGTGTTTCGACCGAAGAGGCTCGGGCATATGCCACTGAGGGAGGATTGCTCTTTTTGGAAGCATCAGCAAAAACTGGCGAGTTTGTCATGGATATTTTTACAGATATTGGTGAGGCTCATGATGTGTAGAAATTTTTCATTAAAATGTATCCATTTTTGGCTGCTGACACTAACTTGCAATCATCTCGGTGTTTTGGATTGCATTCATTAACATAGCTAAAAAAATCCCATTGGAGACTCTGGCTGCTGCACGTGGACGCACCGGCTTAACTAGCGGATCTGGTGCTGGAGGCACAAATGCCAGCAGTGGACGAGTAGATCTCAACCAGAATCAAAATGCCACCCCTGTTCAGGATGCATGCGCTTGTTAAACTTGGATAATGGGAAATGGATATCATTGATGAATGACGAATTGAAACTATCAGGTCTCATGCTTATCCAATGGCCTGAACATTTTTATTATAAACTTTAACTTTCCATGATAAGCTTGAATCTATCCAATGATCCTTTGACTGGGACTATTTTTGATTTTTTGCTTGAAAGGCCTTATAGCTGGATTATTTTCTTTTTTTAAATTACATTTATTGTTTTATTTGCAGCCGTATTTACGTAAAATGAACCAAAGTCAAAATGCAGAATAAACGGCCGTCTCATGTTTGATGTCAATCTTACTGCACAACATTGTGCCCTTTGAACTCTTTTAGCTCGCTGGTCCTTTTCCATCGTGTTCATTCTTGTACAAAAATACGGAGCGAATATTCACATCCTCGACATCTTTCAACCCAAACACTGGGTGATCGCATGGAAACAACAGTTGCATTCTCGAGATTGTTCTCTTGAACTAGAGCGCGGACGTATCCGAATGTTTAGGGAAAACAGAGCTTCTATAAAAGAAATAATCAATCTGTAATGGGAAAACAACAAATATTTAACCATTGTTTATTCCAAGATAAGCAAGTGCTTCATTTTACGTGAACACGGCTTTAAAACAGCAAACGCTCAATACTTGTCCTTCTACTCATTTACCTTGTCTTGCTTTATTTTTCAGCATTTGATACTACTAATGTCGTTCATTTTCAAAATAATATTTGGAAAAGAAATGAACGTGCACAAAAACAGCAGTATTGATACTCGAGGTATTTCATTATATGTTTGGATTTTAGTCGTCGTATCAATGGAGCCATCACTTCCGGGGTTTTGCTTTTATTTTTCCGTTTTGGAATTATTGGTTTTCAGGTTATAGGATTGGCTAGATATAGTTTGCTTGAAATACACCGCGCATCATCTACGCATTCATACTTGCAAGACGACAAACACGAGATACAATACTGAAAACATGCTTTTATATCAATGACAAACTCTTACTCAACCATTGCAACTACTGGCAGCTTGATAATGAACAATGAGCCTTTATATCTTTGATTGCAAAATTACATTTTTACTATGATCCCAGCACCAGAATACTTGCGCATTTAGACTAAATCCGACAACTACGTGATAACTAATACTATTTTTATAGCCTTAATCTAGTATAAGATCTGCTTGTTCTATTCATATCAACCAGTAGACAACTACTCTTATATAAACTGACACTCCAGACTTGGCAAAAGTATCTAGGCTGGGTAACTGCGTTGGTTTTAGACCAGTGTCGTCAACTCCATGTCCAAGCTTGAGACTAAAAATAGGAAATGAAATTTTTTCAACCATATTCATTTGCCACCATTTTATTAAAATCTTTCCAATTGATTTAAATAGTAAAACTATTGATTTAAAAAGTAAACAATCGATCCATCAGCATTTCAAAGGCGAGTCCTAGTCAACATGATTCAATTTAAAATTGTATTTATTTTGCCATCTTCTTTGCTGATTGTTTGAATCAGCATTTTATTACTCGAGCAGTGGGTGATTTCTCTAGAGATGGCCAAATACCATCATCTTACAAAAAGTTCAGCACCATCATTTGCTTTGTATTCGCAATCCCAATAATCTTGGATACTTTGTTTTGAAAACGGGGTCAGAATCTTACATTGCCCATTTCAATCACTAGCAAGCCTAATATTAAAAATTATAACTGATTCATTGAATTTATACTCAAAAGGCGCACCGCTTCAGCTTTAGGCCCGTTTGCAGCAGCCCAACACAAAATATAGCACTAAAGTCGGTATTCTTGCAGTTTTGACACTATCTGTTTTTTAGAATGCCCCAACCTGGCATCGAACCACTTGATGATACAGATATACCTTGTAGGCGTGTCGAATTGCACATATCTGAGCCTATCTGCCATTCAAAACCATCCACGGCTGGCATGTCTACCGATATTGGAGCCGTAGTACTACAAGCCAAAAGTTTGAATTTGCCTGTTCTTCCTGGAAAGTTGGAGAAAGTTGCATTTCCCTCTGACGTGAATACGATATCGGCCAACACTGCTGACCAAATCAACAAGTTGAATCCACCTTTTAATCAAGAGCAAACACCTGCTGACATAGCTCTGACCCCTTTACTCTCACAAAAAAATCACTTGGGTTTCACCAATACTATTTCGAGTGCAGTAGATACTACCACTCTACCAGTATCTGTAGAAACACGTTTGCCTGTTCAAACTATGCAGCAGCTGCAGCCATCTGTTAAACTTTTACCAGTCATATTTGATTCGGCTGTTAGACACGGACCAATGGTTAATTCTGACGCGTTGCTACAGTCAGCCAGTGCAACTCTCTGCTCAGATCAACCGACATCAACCATCATGCATAAACCTTTAGCTTCAGATGCCCCACTCTACACAGCTGATACCACTCATCAAAACTCATCAGCACGTATTATACATATTCAAATTCCAACTGCCACTGCTTTTGTTACTGAATCTATCGAAATATCCAATACTACATCATATCATGAGCTTGTGTGTGTATTGATGGCAGCTGCTGGAATAAGCGACTCTGATATTGACTTTTCAACTAAAATTACCAAGGCTGGGGTATGGCTTACGGATACAAATGGAAGACATTTGGAATTGGACGCTAAAGAATTGATTCAAAATTCAAAAGAAACACCCTATATACTTCAAATCGACCGACCTAATGGTAAACCCATATGTATTACTTATAACTGGTATTTCAGGCTTTCAGTACTAGTGAAATAGACTCATCTCAACTGTTTGGCTAACAAAACAATATAGACACATTTTTAGTTTCAAAAGAGCCTATACACGCTGCTGAGCTTTCTAAAATCATTCAGCCAATCACTGATTTGGCTACCAAGTCATCTGATGTAGTTCGGCTTAGGAATAGTCTGAAAAAACTTCGCAAAAAAATGGATAGAATGGTAACTTCGCATTCAAGCTTATACAGACATTGGGTTCAGTACATCCTTGTATGTTTAAACATATTTAGATTAATCATGCGTACAACACTAAAATTTTATAGGACGTAGACAAACTCAATTTTGGGAAACCTTATTCAATGTTGACTAAACTCCCCAGCTCGCATACATCTACTATGCCTAATCCAAACTATCCCAGTGACGCTCCTAGATACATCTTTACGGAACACACAAAGGAATGGTTGAAATCGCCCACATTTGACAACTGGCAATGGGATGATAACGAGTTGTTGGGACTGTTTGAGCTCATGTTTGTAGAAATGGGTTTGGTGGAAGAGTTTAAAATCGATCTGGGTGTTTTAAGACGGTTTTTAAGTGTGGTTCGCGAAAACTACAACAATAATGTAAATCTCTTTTCAAAAGTGTAACCATGGTAAATCGGCTTGCTGATTCAAACTAAACTTTGTGTATTTTGAAAATCGTAGCCGTTTCATAACTTCAAGCACTCATTCTGTGTGACTCAAATGGTATACATCTATCTCTATTGATCTAAAACGCTTGACTGGTTAAACAGCATACTGAGACTAACTCGTATGTCAACAACGTGTTTATGGGATGTAATATGTAGATGTACGGATTAATCAATGTCACTAAACTGATTGACAAATTAAAACCAGTTGAGAAATTGATTTTAACGGTGGCTTGTATTGGCCATGGTAGGATATATTCACCATCACTTTCTAAACTAAAGCCAAGACTGTTTTGTAAATGTTTAATAGCACTAATTTAAATCTTATTTTTACTGTGGCTTGTATTTAGATCTTGATCATCCTGGATATAACAACTCGTACCAAATCAATGGTAAGACGCTAAAACTCGTCCATCATATACATTGTAATTGATGGTTTTGTTTCCAAGAATATTTGACTTAGTTGAATGTAAATAGCAAAAACTGAAATGGCAATTGTTTACAACGACAATGCACCACTTGAAATGCATCATGCGGGTGAGTTTGGATTGTAAGCTGATTTAAATTCATTGTGGTTTTTATTGGCTCTATACCCACTCATAAAACTGCTTATTTTTCATCCAGCCTTTCTGTTTGGTATATTAAAACGGCCAGACTGCAATATATTCGCTGGGTTTTCGGATAGTGTGTACCGTGAAGCTCGTAGAGGAATCATTCGGTGTATTTTGTCAACGGATATGGCCAAGCACGGTGATTTACTTGCACAGTTTAAAAAGGTTTCCGACTCGTTTAATTATGACGATGCCGAGAATCGTGCTTTGGTGAGTTTATCAAATGATATGTTTGGAAAAATATGTCATCTGACCAAAATGGTGTGAATAGCTTATATCATTAGTGATCAAATGCGCCGATATTTCCAATGAAGGTGTGTTATATTTTTGTAAACTAAACTGCCTTGTATTTGACTTGTACGGCTTTTATGAATTAATATTGTTTTTATGCACAGTACGTCCTCCCAGTGTCGCTGAGCCATGGGTTAATTGTCTCCTTGAAGAGTTTTTTTCCCAGTCTGATCGTGAAAAGGCAGATGGGTTACCCAATGCACCATTTATGGATAGAGAAAAGGTCACTAAACCCAGTGCACAGATTGGGTACGTACTTTTTGAAAGTGAATGACACGACTTGGAAGCGTTTACTAGACTAACAACTCAAAACTATCTCATGAATTGCAATGGCTTTAGATTTATTGCATATGTAATGATTCCCATGTATGAACTTGTTGGAAAAGTACTGCCAAATATGGACAAGCATATCTTGCATCCTATTAGAGCATCACTCAATTTTTACAAACATCTTCTTGAAAAAGAAAAGGCAGAAAAATAATTCTAGAAAACTCGGTCGCTATTGCTGAACCAAAATATAGGCTGCCTAACACTGATTTGATTTTTAAACGCTCGGATGTAACGGATTTGAAGTTTATGATGCTTGTTATGTCAATACGATATGAGGAAAGCGCACAAGTTATTTTCAGTTTGTTGTAATTGTGATCATACTCATGCGGTTTTTGAATAAAGCTATTAGATTGAATCTTTTGGCGTTGGATCAAACTTATTTTTAATCATGGTTGTTTTAGCTGGGCGATTTTAGTCTTGACTTGAAATGTGCTGATTAAGTGGCAATTTTCAAGTTTATTTGCTTCGAGGCTTGAGCATCTCAGCCAATATCATTATTCAGTCAATCCGCACAGATTAAAGTGATGAAATCAAACAATGATCAAGAACAAGTTGGATAGCTCATGTAAACTTGCACAAAATAGTAAAATCAATACAATTTGACTGATATTCAATCATGATAAATAGGTAGCTGATGGATTGCTTATTATTCGTAAATAGTCTTTTATTTCTGCCTTTTTTCCACAATTGAATCATTTTCAAAAAAGCTTTACTCGACTGTAATTTTAATCGACAATGAAATCTCAAAGCCTTGGGCTTTAGTTGGAACCTGCATTCGCTTTTGGGGTTGTTGATATGGGAGGCGACTTTTGCATACCCGAGCTTTTTGCAGGTGGTGGAGAGGCACTGCTAGCAGAAGGAGCGGGGAGTACACTGGAAAAAGTAGATGTAGGAATATCTGGAAAGGGTGTAAAAGATGAACTACCTTGAGTGGAAGAAGACTCAATAGAGCTGAAAGGTACTTCAGCACCTGTAGTAAAAGTACTATCCTTCAACTGTGGGGCACGCTTTAACAGCTGATGAGATTGCTGATTGATAGGAATTATAATTGCATAAGTGAGCGAAACAAACAGAGAGATGATGATATTTAACGAGATCTTCATTGACAAATGTAGTGTTCAGGCAACAGTATGTAAACGCGATAGGAACAAACTGGATCGACTAGAATGAATGATTGGTAATGACAGTTCAACCTTGTTTTTATATCAGAAAACTTCAAGTGGAGTTAGTGGCGACTGTGGCAATTGATAGCTGTGTACTGTCATAAATTATAGCTATGCAGTGGCTTAATGCTTATGTGGTTGGGTGCCTATCGCTGATTTACACAAAATTGATGGGTCACTACAACTGTTTCAAGTCGAGCAAAATTACTGAATATCAAACCTATGTTTGTCGAAATGGATGAATAGTATTCCCGGGACCAACTAAAAATGCATATTTGCTATTGCCGCTGTATTCATGTAAAATGGGACACTAGATAAGTGTATAAACCAATTCTACGGAATGGCTGGTGTCAGTTTTTCTCCTAGTAACTGGCATGTGTAGTTGCATTCCTGATATGCTAAACTAGAACGCGAATATACGAGTTTTCAGGATGCAGTAAAAGTTTGTAGTTTGGCAATAATATGTTGTGTTGATCAAGTGTCAATATGTAGTATAAAAGCATGGCAAATATTTAATTATTTATCCTCGAGACAATCACTGCAAGATAAATACAAATGCTTCACTGAGTGCGGCTGGTATGAGTATGACTGATTTGAATAAAATGACAGACAATAAACCCATTCGTAAAAACAACTTTGTATAATCAAATTGATTGTTTATTGGAGTGTTTAAAAATATAAATAAGGTCATATGAATTGTTGAATCTGTACGAGCTAAACGAAATAGGCTGTTCTAAACCTGAGCGCACATTACTTGATTGGAAAATTCAAACTATTTAAGCATCTGATTATGGAGAATCCTCTCTCCTTGGTGGGTCATACGGATTGTTGTTAGGGAAGAGAGGTTTCCCAGCAGACACGCCTGTGAAACCGCCATTGGACACATCTGGTATTACAAGAGCGAGCGCAGTGGTAATGACACCATAGATGCAAAGGATGATGTGAAGTGGATTCATGATAGCTTTAAAACAAGTTTAACTGTTAATAAAAGTAATACTTGGGAGGGAAGAAATAAAAGGCTTCGAGTTTAAATATTGCTGAGTGGCTTACAGTGGCTAAACCATTCATGTTATGGCGACTGATTGCCACAGCATGAATAGGACAAATCGGCAACATCACAAAAATGCACCAATATATTTGAGCATAAATCAAAGCATAGTTTAGTAAATAGCAGTAGTGATTGATTGCCACTTGAAACCTATTTTAATTGTATGTGTCACAACTAGTGCTCAACAAGAATGGCGAGATAAATGAAAAACTGTCATCCTTAGTAATGTTGTTTTCAATATTGGCAGATTGTCCGCTGATTTGAATGGCAGTAACATCTATTAACCGCATTTCCTGCATCACGATCAGTTTGTTGAACAATCTACAGCTCTTTTTGATTCAATATAGAATGGCGTGTATTCGATCTAGTGGTGGCTGTTTGTTGATATGGGTATTGATCCTGTTGACACAATCTTGAGCATTTCACCTAGTCTTGCACCAACCCAAAACAGTCGTGCAATTTTACAAACCCTAACCCTGTTTAAATGCAGCAGCAGCTTGTCTAATACTGTCTGGATGTTTCCAAAACATGATAAAAGTCGAATTTTCTATATAATCAAAAAATACATCCGTTTCTATTGTTGCTAGTTGTGATTTCGGATTCTCTCATTGATTCCATCTACTTGAATGCAATGCTATCAATGATGATATTTTAAATCACAAGCATAACAGCCTTGAGATCTAGTCATATTTGCGTGAAATGGAGCACTAGATACGAGTGTCACATTGCATAGTAAACCATTTCATGAAGAGTTTCAACTTATTTGTGATTTTCCTGGTGGTTAGCATGGAAACAGCAATTGCATTCTCGAGACTGTTCACTTGAATTAGATCGCGAATGTATGAGATTAGAATATAAAGTGGAGTTTGAAAACAGTTGAATCCAATTTAGTTTTAAACTTGTTGATACAAGATTATCAAAAAGAGAGAAATTCTGTTTAAAAGTATAGTTTGTATGAAGTTATCTATTAGTCAATGTGTAATAGGAAAACAACGAATATTTAATCATTTATTCCAAAACGGAATACAAGACATCCATTCTATGTGGATATAAGTAGTGATAGATTCATAAACTAGCCCAATATGAGTTCATATATAATAACAACAATATTTAGAGCAACTAGAGGAATACGAAGTAGAGTACGAACAGCAGCAATCAGATTGACCAGTTTGAGTTTGATTGAGTTTGGATCACCACCTTGTTGCTGATAAGCAGCTTGAGAAACCGACAGTCCAACTAAACACATGAGTTAGAAGTTGATTTCCAACACAACAACAAACAAAACATACTTCTAGCAAGAAACCGTTCTTCATGAAGGACAGCAATGGCATTGACGACCATCAGAGTGACATAAAAGAGAGTTCCAAATCCGAACATGAACATTGCAGTGGTTGACAGCAAGAAGTTGAATCCACGTGGAGTTGATTATTGAAAACAGTTTTGACATTTCATCTATTATTAACATGACAGTTATTGAGCCATTGGACAGAGTTCCTGTTCATTTAACTCCTGTTAAACGTCGTACTCATGTCGAGACTTTTAATACAACTCCAAAAATGGATTCTCTTGCTGCTTCTCCAATTGGAGTTTCTTCTGAAAAATCCAACAGATATACCAATACTGTCGGATCTACTCCTATTACGGATAACATTATCACTCATGTTAAACAGAATTCTAAAAATGTTTCATCAACTCTTACTGGAATGCTTGCATTGCGTGCTCGTTTAGTTCTTTCTGACTTGGATCGCACTCGTTTTAAAAAAAATGCTGCAGCTCTCTGTGTTGTTTTGATTGCATCGATTCTGCTGTTTCTTAGGTAATCGAATGTCAGTTGTTCTAATAGTGCTAATAGTGTTAATAGTACTAATAGTACTGTTCAATTCTTATTCATTTAGTGGTTATGACGCTTATCCCCTTCGATATCCTGCAACTGTCTTGACTGGATGTAAGTCGAAATAACTTGTATTGATTCATGCGTTGTAAATATAAATTTGATGTTTGGTTCTTACTGACTATTCATGATTTAGCTATTCTGTTTTTTATATCCGTCTTTTTACTCAATATCATTGCAATCTCTGCAAAATATCTCTGGCCTGATCAATCCAAGTCAACGTCTATCATATCTAATAGTACTACTCAATCATCTCATCAAGGCTATGAACAATCTCTGGTAGAATCTCGTGGTGAAGCATGGTCACCAGGTAATATCATCACGTCAATGTTGTCGAGTCATGCCAACACTAACAATAATTGGCTTAGTTCGTCCACTTGTTTCTCCTCGGAAAGTCTATACGAGTCCCAGATCTGAAACCGAAAACTCTTTTAATAACAATGTCTTGGCTTCAACTTTTGGTTCTCATTTGTCACTTACTCGCAACACTGTTGTCAAACCATTTATGCTTCGTGGATCTCCCAGTAAGTCCATATACTATTCCAGTAGTGATGCTTAAACCATCAAGCTTTTTAATCTTATATCTTATATCACCATGTTTAGTGAGAAAAGAAATACCCATGATTCATGATCGTATGGACTTGAATTCTTTACTTGATGGCGACAATCAAGACGATCAACTCGCTTCCACAGTCAAAAATCCATTCACAATGTCGCTTGGAGCTTCTACTTCAACAATATCTCAGTTTCAACATGCTGTAAAACCTACCGTGAATCTGATGGATAAGGAAATCATTGAAGATGGACTGGTTGTTCGAGAACCTACAAAAACTCTCAAAGAATGGAAAACTGGTCATTATATTGATAAATGGGCTGAAGAAATTCGCAAGGTATTTAATCCAGTCCGTTCAATTCGCCAGTTTGTATTACATATTCGACTATTTTCTTACATTTTGAATCCATCTGAAAAGTGGTTGGCAACCCATCTACTTGCTCAGTTGGTTGAGCGTATTGATGCTGTAGATCAACTACTGACCACTGCTGGACTAAGCCATCTTTCTTGCAGCGTCATGTCACCCATTGAAGGAGTTCAGATCAAGGAACCTGTTGTATCAGCTGGAATGACTAATACAGTAAAACCTACCAACTATTTTGGACTACCCAATACCACGCAAACACCATTGTTTGGCAGAGGTGTACAAGCAGCTACTCAGCCTAATCAACCTTCTGCAGCACCTCAAACTTTACAGCAATTGGCTGATCAACTACCTCTGGTAATATCCTGCTAGTTTAAACTGAACTGCTTGTATTGATTTCTGCTACCAACACTAGATTTGTATAGGAACCCATGGTTAAAGAACGCGTTATATTGGAAGGATATCTTGCTGTCGGCAAATATTCATCCAGGGACTATATCATATATCGTATTAAAGGTACTGTCTTTCGATTTCAGTTTATTGATGATTTTACATTGAGTATGTTGCTTACATATTTGGTATTAATAGTACTTGCAACTGGAAGCTGCCTTGCTCAGTACAAATGGAACGGAGGACAAACCTGGAAGGGAAAGCAATGGAACCATGATGTTTACCCATCAGATGCAGAAATCATCATGCATTTGTTTTGCAAGTATTTGGACGAAAAAATCATGATTCTAGAACCACACAAGTATCGAGGATTTACTGACAAGCATTTTTTGCCATCTGGTGCCAAGCCGAGTAAGTATAGAAATTTTGAATACTTTTTGAACAAGGCTAATCTATCATTTAGGTCTGTTGCCCATTTACATGATTCGTGAGCAATCTAAATGGCCCGCTCACTATCAACTTGTAGTCGAGAATACGATTTGGGATCTGCATCCAGTTGAGTTTGTTTTATTGTCAGATTGTGTTGTATACTACTGGCTTATACTTTTGAAATGTTTTATGTAGAATCGTAACAATCTGTTCCATACACTAGCCATGTTCATTTATTGTGTCAAGGTTATATCGAGTGGCTATATTGGGTAAACATGATTGCTTTATTATTGGATTTTGGGCATAATCTAATGTGATATTTTTTGAAATACTCTGATAACTTGAAAGATTGCTGTATATTGGAGGCGTGGCGACACAACTATTGGATATTGTTGCTTATGGACCGATTGCATCGAAATATGACTGGCCGTCTAAAATTCATGGCAACAAGGAAACTGAATTGCTTTCATCTAGCCAACTCGGGAGCAGTGCCGGGAACAAGCTTAAGCTTACCAAAAGCGATTCTACTCCATTGATGAAAACACCAAAAAGACTTCTCAAATTTTAAAAGCACGCAATTAAACTTAAACTTGAGAGCATTATATGCCAAATTTTTATCGTTTAATACGGATTGAGTCCCGTGCTTATAACTATGTTGAATCATTCACCAGCTAATACATTTTAGTATAATAAAAAATGGTTTTGTGCGACAAGCAATTCCACGCACTGGACTAAGAGTATCTAAAGACCATGCAATCAATTTGAAATAGAAAAATGCAACAAGTGTTTAACCATTATTTATTTCAAAGCAAGAATCAGTGACTGAAATATAGTTGAATTACTCTTGTCTGATATAGATCAGCAATCTTGACTGCAGTCAATCCAATCACAAACAAGTGAATACTAGTAACGTGACAGAATCTTGCAGTCACGGGACTAAATGTCAAATTGAATTCTTGACAATTCGGCGTTTCTTGCTGCAGAATCAAAATGTCGGTTTCGAAAGATATTTCCATCAAGATTAAATGTTCCAACGAGGCGGCTTTCACTCTAACAATTGACCCTCAAACCGACACAGTTCTTGATTTGAAAAATAAAATCACTGCTCATTTACTTCAATCTGAAGGTTCTACGAATGTATCTGCTGAAACCATGCGCCTCATCTATTCTGGAAAAGTACTTAAAGATCCTGACATGTTGTCTGTCTACAAAGTTTCTGACTCTGCCACGTATGTGCTGGTTTTATTTTTATGTATTCAAGAGTCTTGTTAAATTGTCAAAATTGGACACTAGTTGAACAATAGATGCTCTGAGCTGTAAACTACGGTATTATGGCTTAGATATGTCTTGTACTATTTCAGCTGTATAATTCTCTAAACTGGAGTTATGTCATTCAACAGTTTATGCTAGTTTACCCTAGCACATTCATGTATTGATCAATCATTGGATGGTGCGAGCAATCACTCGACTAATCTTCATATTAAATATTCAACATTATTTCTAGTCTACACATGGTAAGAGGCAGCAGACCTCCAGGAACTGTTTCTCCTTCTGCTGCTGGAACTCCTTCTACGCCAACTCCTACTCAGCCATCCACTAATGCTTTTGCAACCACTCCAACAGATCAGCCCGGATCTCGCACTGCGCCATTAGGTAATCCATTTGCTGCCAACGCTGGTGCCAATCCATTTGCTGCTTTTGGAGGCGGCAGTATGCCTGGTATGCCTGGAATGCCTGGAATGGATTCGATGATGCAAGATCCAGCAATGATGGGAATGCTCAGTCAAATGATGGCCAACCCCCAAATCATGGAATCATTAATCTCCATGAATCCACAACTTGCTGGCATGATGACTCCTGAAATGCGTCAGATCATGCAAAGCGATCAGTTTAGATCCATGGTATCGAACCCACAAGTCATGCAACAGATGATGCAAATGAGTGCTAATATGGGCGGTATGCAAGGCATGGGCGGAAATCCTTTTGGAATGCATGGACAATCACAACCAGCATCGACAACTGCCATGGGTGATCGTTCTACCCCCAGTTCAACCCAACCCAATCCTACCACGTTCCCTCCACTTCCTATGTTTAACCCTGGAATGATGCAAATGTTGATGGGCGGTCAAAGTGGTGCAAATGTTACACCTGGACAACCAACGCGTCCACCAGAAGAAGTTTATCAAGTTCAACTTCGTCAACTTCAAGATATGGGATTTTACAGTCCATCAGAGAATGTACGAGCACTCACACTTACTGGCGGTAATGTGGAAGCCGCCATTGAATGGCTGTTTTCTCACCCTCCTGGTACTCAATAGCTTATCCACTTATTTACCAGCTTGAATTTGCAAATATACAGTGATTTCTGCTTTTGTTTTTGTTTTATATCAGTTGCAATGGTTCAAGGCTACTGGCTAATCCAGAAACTATTTTGCTCAACAATCATTCATTTGGCTCTTATTTTTCAAACTAAAATAGTTGTAAAAATAACAGCAGAATCACTGGATGAATATACATTGTATAAATGTAGCTGATCGTAAACAAACCTTGATCTAAGCTTCATTAGTGTGATTAAACAAGTCTAAACAGTCTAGATGTCAATCAAGCTCTGGCTTCAGTTTTTTATTTAAATTGTTGTTTGACCAAGATTTTCTATAAAAACATTCGAGTGTAAATCTCAACATCATCACGTGAGATCGTTACTATAAATTCAGGCAATTTATTGGTGATTTTGCATCAAATTTAATCAAAAAGTTATTAGTGTTACGTATCGGATAATGAAGAATATTACAACGAATGCAACCAGTCCAATCAGTCAATCAATTCTTGAACATCGCAAAAGAAATGCATCGCTAAACTCTACACTGTCTTGTTCAACCTCTAGTTTCAATACCCATACATCTTGGCTAATCTGTGAATCTCAGTTGATTCAATGTATTCTCGATTCAAGTAAATCCACTATCCAATTCTTTTCTGGTCAACTCCCCAAAAATAGTGTATTTAGTCCAGACTCAATCATTCAATTTAATAATAAATTTACTGTCAAGCTTCCAATCTCAGAGCGGGTGTCTGGCACAACGCAGGTATGAGAAATAGAGATCTTGCTGTAACAATCCATTTATTCAATGCATTCATCTTTTATTGTTAATGAGCAGTACGAAATATTAAATGCCAAATCTTTATATGACACGGCATCAGGAATGTAAGTTGATGCTGAATCAACCATTACATAGCAAATGTACTGTTTATTCATCAGCATGTAATTAGGAATCTTCCATGTATATTGGCAAAAACAAATGATACACTGCATTTGATAATACTTGCAGATCCTTTGGCTAGTGAAAACACTGCTATTCTTTCAATATCGCTGGATTCCCGTATATTCACTCCTGATTCAAACAATTTTTTGAAAAATGAGCTTCTGGATGGTCCTGTTGCTCTCATTTACTCCACGGATAATGCTATCCTTATATATCAAACATTTCCAGGATCCCGCGAATTAGTCTCGGTAAAATTACCATGGCATCCCAATCAAATCATAGGATGCTGGTCAGATATTCGTCAAGAATCTATCCATTTTTTAATCAAGCAGGTTTCTCAAGACCAGACTTTGATTAAACGCATGGTATTTAATATAAATGAGTTACAGGATCATTACTCGGTCGAGCCCAAAAGTTTGGATGTAATGGGTGTGCCAGACTACATGACAGATTTTGTAATTCATATCTCTGTCTTGCCTCGAATGGGAAAATCCGAGTTCGTATTTGCTGCATTGACTAGATTGGGAACTTTGGTCGTATTCTTTCGTGACAAATTAGACTGGACTGCAGATTTAAAAAACTTGAGGCTAGATCTGCCCAACTCCAAATGGTATGTTACTTTTACTATAACTTGCTTTTGGGTAAAATGAGTTCATTTGTAATGAATAAACATTGTGTTTAGCCAGATCATTTCCAGACAATATGTTATTGTTTTGACATCCGAAACTGTTGCGATATTCAGCAATGGCATATTATCTCAAGGTATGTTTTGGTCCCAAATTGATTTAAAAATATCAGATTGATGTGTACTACATTTTGACTCGAAATTGCATATATTCTAGTATTTTCATCATTTCAAGCATGCATAATCAGAAACTGTTCCTGGAGTATTGTCGAGATTCCAAAGTCGAACGTTGAGGATGCAGGATTATTGCAAACCAAAGTTTACATGCACTCAATCAAACAATCCTCATCAACCAAGGTTGAAAACAATAGTATAAACATTCCAAATAGTCACATTCAAACTGCAATTGTAAACACTCTTGAGATGCAGATTGGGCTTGCCAAATCTATTGTTGCGGATGTATCGAAGCAGGTAACAAGATATCATGCGTTTTTAGTTTGATATGTTGTGCTGATACTATGATGATCAAGATTGAATTCAAACAAGGTGCATTACGGGCAGGTCGACGATACATTTCCAGAATTGCTGGGAATCTAGTAACCGATCCGGATCAGTTGATCCAACCTGATCAAGCATGCATGGAAATCGTTTTAAAAAACATGGTCGCGGTTGATCCCAACACTGGAATGCGATTGCTCACTCAACCTGATTTTCTTTTGAATGAGAATCATAAAATCACTCCTGATCCGTTAATTCAAATCACTAAATGTACTGCCACTGTTGATAAAAACAAATACAAGGCTCATATTTATATCACAATTCAAAACACCTCCAATCTGTAAGTGACATGCACGAGGGATTAAATCCAAACTATAAATAGATGCAATCACTAAGCTACTGTATCGACCCATGTAGCACGGTATATAATGTGTCTTTTGTGATTGGCAAGTTGTCGCGATATTCAGAAACTTTGACCAGCAATGCATCGGTTATATCATTATTGGAATCCAACTCGATGTGTAATGTAATGTGTCGTGTAAATATACCTGTACGTGATCGTGTATCTGATCTACGCATGGCCATAGTTCCAATATATTCCAGAACATTAGATGGAATTTTACAATATGGGTATCCGATCACTGCAACGACCACACAAGCACAATGTAAGTGGCAATGAACAGTACATACTTCGCCTTGACTTATGGATTCAGACCAGTTGGACTTGCCCCAATCTACTCATCAAATACTAAACTATTTAAATTGATAAACAGCTTCAATAGAGTTGATATGTACATCCACAACGTCGTTGCTATGGACACCCACATCTTCAATCGGCAGATCATTTGATGAAGTCATTTCAATTGTTGGTAAAATACTTGGATGTAGCGTGGATATATCTCACCAACGTGCAACAGGCGACTTGTATTATATTGAATTCAGTCTGTTGAACTCTGCCACCCTATCCAATACTCAACTAGCAAAAAGTATACGTGATATCAAAATCAATATATTTGCCTTGAATGATGAGACGGTTATTGATTGTGTGTCAAAACTTGTGCATGAAATTCCAGAAATTCATTTGTAAGATTGTACATGTTTTGGACAATACTTTCAACCCAACAACAAAGATATGGATTGTTTTATCAATAAAAGCATGTATTTTGACTGGAAAGTGAATTTCTCAAACACACTGTTCATATTTAAATCCGAATGAATAGATGGTGCTTGAACCCCGCATATCAAACAGTTATTTAGAATCAGATTTAGAAACTAACTTTACGTACAAATCAGACTGTTGTAAAAGCGTTTCGTGTGTTCCTGACGAGACAATATGGCCATGATCCAAGACATGAATGCACGTAGCATCTTTGATTGTATCTAGACGATGTGTGACAACCAATAACCCCTTTCCTGAATCTACAAGAATCAATCATAAAGTTTAAATAATGTCACAAAATATCGCTTTTGGATATAACAAATATAGTACCTCTGGAATAGGTTTCCAATGCTCCAATCACCGCTGCTTCGTTTTCTGCATCCAATGCACTATACACGGAATTTAAAAAAGTTCAAGTGGACGACCTGAAAATAATAAATACAACGTTTTAAACAATATATCGTATAACAAACCTGGTTGCCTCATCCAAAATGATCAATGATGGCTGCATAAGATATATACGGGCAATAGCCAGTCTTTGTCGCTGACCTCCAGATAGTAAATTAGCCTATCAATAAATAGAGTCAATATCTAAATTTCAACAAACACCATTTTAATGCATTTCTAATGCCACACTTGATAGGATCACTTACTCGTTCACCGACGCAAGTCTCATACCCATTTGGCAAGGCTAGGATAAACTCGTGAGCATTTGCAAGCTTGGCAGCATGTTCAATTGTCTCGATTGTAGCTCCAGAACACCCGTATGCAATATTATGTCTTACAGAGGCGTCAAACATATCAGGAAATTGAGGAACAACACCAATATGGCTTTTGAGCAATGCTAAATCCCATGATTGGAGCGATTGATTGTTCAATTTAATCGTTCCGTGTTGAGGATCGTAAAGACGTTGAACAAGTGCAAGAACAGATGATTTGCCACTTCCTGTCGGTCCTACCAATGCAACTTTGTGTCCAGGTTCGATAGTGATACTGATTTGTGAAAGCACAGGGGTAATGGATGAATGACTGCTTTTATAACTTGGATAAGAAAATGTTACATTATCAAGTTCTATTCCCGTGAATGGGTCTTTATCAGTGATAGCATCACGCGATTGGAGCATGGTATCCATATTTCCAATAGTAATGACTGGCTTGCGATCCAAAATATCAAAAACACCGTGTACTGCAACAGATGCAGGTCCCAAGGCGTAGGAAATACTTGCTGAAAGCTGATTGATACTTGCGGCAGTGAGTGTCAAAGTCACTAGCGATACAAGTACACGCTCGTTTGTGACCCATCCCCACAACATCAGATTACCTCCAGCAAAAAGTCCCAAACTGAAAACAAGAATAATCATGGATTCAAGTACACCTTGGCTGAGAGAAACTACAAACTGGTGCTTGGTGTTGATTGTGGTAAATTCACGCAAGAGAGCGCTATAGCGAATGCTAAAGTGACGCTCTTTTGCCAACAAAGAAATAGTTTGAAGTTTGGTAATCATTTGAGACGTAAACTTGGCACTATTTTCCTGCAGCATTTGATATTTCTCTGCAAACCTGATCAAATCAAAAAAATGCACAAAATGTCAAGTTATAAACAAAACCACAATCTAGTCACAAATGTGCATGCATTCATGGACTTGCCTGGCAGAAATGCGAGCCAACCCGGCACCAATCAATAAAATCACTGGAAATGGAAGAACCATCAGCACTGCCATCATCCACGAGTTTGAGACTCCAATGTAAATTCCAACTGTTAAATTCACTACACTTCTTAGAATATCAGCCAACAAGTTTCCAGAAACAGTCCCAATTTTCTCGGTCGAATCTGCCAAAACAAGCTCCAAATTTGTCGGCGTATACATTGGATCACCAAAAAATTCCATGTCTTGATATACTACATGTTGAAAGATCTTTTCGCGAAGCTTGTACATATTGCGCGATGCAGCGTATCCAAATCCTACTGCATTCATTACAGCTGCCACCAGAGAGCACATGCCAATAATGATCATTGCAAGTGACCAAAAGTTTGTAGAAGCAGTAATTTGGTCAGATGTGGGCAAAGCATAGCCTGCAACCACTTTTCCAATGACAAACCCTTGAAGTGGAGATTGAAGGCCTTCTATTGTACTTCCAATGTATCCAATGAGAAGATACGGCCATTCTTGTTTGGTTTCCAGCCAAACACGTTTGAAAAATTGAAATGATCGAAAAAGTCGATCAAATAGCTCGTTGAATGGTCCGTCAGATTTCATTGGATTTGCTCCACCTTTGACATTGATTGATTTTGACAAAAAAGGCTCTTCAGAACAGTCGTCCATAGGCTGTATTTCAGCAGATGCACTACTTCTTTTCCTGAGTAAACCATGCCTATTGTCAGCTGTGGGTGTATTGACAAGTGGGATGGCTGCAGTGGTCGAATATGCACTAGTTTGGCGAGTTTCCAAAAGTGTTTTGAATATTGTTTGAGATTCAGTTAGTTTTTCAAATGATCCATCTTCGGCAACATGCCCCTCCTTGAATACAATAATGCGAGTAAACTCTGTAAGCGAGGCAACGCGATGGGAAACACAAAGTATTGTCTTGTTTTTTCGAGACTCGATCAAGGAGTTCATGACAAGCCGTTCTGTAGATGTGTCTAAAGCACTTGTTGCTTCGTCTAAAATCAACATTCCAGATTCAGCTCCAAGATAGGCACGAGCAATGGCTAAACGCTGAATTTGGCCACCACTTAGAGAAGTGTGCAAACCAGAAATATCAGTATCATATCCATCTGGAAG